CGGAGGTTGGTAAGGACAGCGGGGATACAATCAGGTCCAAGAGCCAAGGAGGGGGGTGTAAAGCTCCACTAATACCCGCACAGCCAGCTTAGCCAATTATAGTTCAAACAGTTGCCCCTTAAAATGTCCAACAGCTTTTAGGCAAGGCCAGCAGTTTAGAACTGTCTCTGGGAGGGGGAGGGGGCGCGAAGCTCCACAGTCAAAGGCCTCAATAGGCAAACAGTCAGGAAGCCCCAGTAGTGCAGTAGCAGGGAATCATGCACAAAGAACGTTCAGCCTCTGCTCAGCTGCTCGCCGGTTCCAAAAGGTCACTAATTAGCTCAGCTGTTCGTCGGAACGGCGAAAAAAACGCTTGCAGCCAGGCCGAGTTTAAATAGGAGAGAAGCAACCAGGAAGCACAGAAGACAGTAAATTCAGCCCTCAGGGGGAGAGGGCGATGAAGGCCAGCAGTCCAAAGTCCAATAATAGTAAGAAAAAAATCCCTTTTAAAAGGTCGGAGGCTCAACAACGAAGCGAAGGGCGACAAAATGGCCGCCGCCACAGAAACGGCGCGAAAAAACGGTCCCAAAGAAAATTACAAGCCCCTGGGTGAAGCGTTTGGGAAGGAAGGGCCAGATCCTGAAACGTAGGGGCTGCCAAGCCTGACAGGGACGTCAAGGAAGCCCCCCCAGGGGTCCCTTAAGGGACAAAGCAAAAAAGGGCTACACACCAAGGGATTAACAGCTCTCAAAGGAAACCAACGGGAAGAAACTCACGAAATCCAAAGACAACCAAGTCCATAGGGCGAAGCAGAGAAGCGTCAGAAAACAGTCCAGATCCAAAAACACCAATATTTCCAAACAGGTAAAGATAATTTGAAGAAAGCAGTCAGAGCTAAAGGCCCACACGCCAGTCCAACTGAAGGACTGAGCCAAAAGCTGGGTCTGCCCGGCAACAGGGGCGGGACTTGAAATTATTGGCTGGCTCAGTCCTTCAATCTGATTGGATGAGTGGTACCCACACTGGCTGCTGTCTCCACTCTCAATGGAGAACAGAGGTATTAAAACAAGAACCCAAAGTGTTACAAGGGCCAACAAATACTAATATTTGATAGACAGACAATAGAATGGAAGATTTGAACTTAATTTGAACTTAAATGTTAATGGACTAAACGCAGTGGCAAAAAGGAGACAAATATTCACAAAGCTAAAACAAAAAACAGACATAGTGTGCCTCCAGGAGGTACACATCCGAAAGCAAGATGAAAAATATTTAAAGTACAAAAAGTTAGGGAAACTTTATACAGCATTGGCAGAGAAGAAGAAGAAAGAGGTGGTAGTATATATTAAGGAAGGAATAAAGGCTAATCAAATGTATGCAGACCCAAAAGGAAGAATCCTAATGATGGAAATAAAAAGAGTACATACACTAATCTTGTTGGTAGTTATTTATGCACCTAATAAAAACCAGGGGGAGTTTTATAAGAAATTGCATGAAAAGATCATTGTGACAGGCCACAGGAATATATGCATTGTGGGTGATTATAATGGGATAGTCAATACCAAAAAAGATTATGTTAGCGATAAAAATAATAAGAAAAAAGAGAAACATATTACCAAAAACCTTTTCTGGAATGATAGATGAACTAAATTTGATAGATATGTGGAGGACCCTACATCCAAAAGAAAATAAATATACATTTTATTCCAATCCCCATGCATCCTGGTCTAGAATTGATATGATGTGGATAAATAAGGAATTAGGTATAGAAAAGATTGAGATCTTCCCAAACATATGGGCAGATCATAACCCCCTTGAGATAATATGAAGAGGCCAAAGGAAAAAAATCAAAAGATGGATGCTAAACCCCCAAATCTTAAAGGAATAGGAATACATTGAAAGGATAATGAAGGAATTGATATTATTTTTTAAAGAAAATAAAAAACAATATACCCATTAACAAACTTATCAGACACTATGAAAGCTTATGTAAGGGGGATAACAATAGCTTATATGGAAAACAAAAATAAGGAAAAACAAAAGCAACATAACACTTTAATGGAAGAAATTGGAAAATTGGAGAATCAACTCCAAACAAAACCAGGAGATGAACTTGTTAATGAAACTTTGACCTTTGTTAGACATAAATTAAACATATTAGAGCAAGCGGACATCGCAATAAATTTAACAATTTCTAAACAATTCTTTTTTGAACACACTAATAAGACTGGAAGGTGTCTGGTTTACATACTGAAGGAGAAAGAAGAATAGATTATCCAACAATTATATGATGAGATGGTGACCCCACAAAATAATGAAGAAGAGAAAAAGAAAATTGTACAAAATTATTATGTGAATCTTTATAAACAAAAGGAAATAGCAAAGGATAAAATTGATAATTATTTGTTGGAAGAAGGGATTACACCACTAGAGGAGGAAAAAAGGACAATGCTAAATAGAGAAATAACGCCAGAAGAATTGAGAGGGTCAATCCTAAGACTTAAGAACAATAAGACACCACGACCGGACGGAGTCCCAGGGAAAGTCTACAAAAAAATGAGTGAGATTATAGAACCAGTATTGTTGGAAATATGTAATGAAGCACTATAGCACTATTTTCACTTTTACGAAGTGAAAATATCGGAATCGTGGAAGGAGGCATACATCACCCTAATCTCGAAAGAAGGTACAGATAAAAATCAAATCAAAAATTACAGACCAATATCCCTCTTAAATGCAGATTACAAAATATTCATGAATATAATAGCAGAAAGGCTGAAAAGAGTATTGAATGAAACTATACACCCGGATCAAAATGGCTTCCTTCCAAACAGACAAATAAGCGATAACACAAGAATAATAGTAGACATACTGGAATATTATGAAACCCAGAGAAACAAGTGGCTCTTGTTTTTCTGGATGCCCAAAAAGCTTTCAATAATCTAACCTGGCAATTCATGATTAGGCAAATTAGACACATGAAATTGGGAAGTAAATTCGAAAATATGATAGCGGCAATATATACGACGCAGAAGGCAAGTGTAATAGTAAACGGGGACACCACCAACACATTTCAGATAACCAAGGGTGTACGTCAGGGATCCCCACTGTCGCCATTTCTCTTTATTTTAACGTTAGAAGTTTTACTAAATAGAATCAGAGCAAACCGAGAAATAAAGGAATGAAAATTAAAAGAGAAGAGTATAAAGCACAGGCCTTCGTGAACGACATGGTATTCATTATTGAGGAACCTCTGAAATCCGGTCCTATTCTAATACGAGAAATAGAAAAATATGGGGAAATATCTGGACTTAAAATTAACAAAGGGAAAACCAAAATGATAGTTAAAAACTTAACAACAAATCAGAAAAAAGAATTAGAAAAGGAAATGGATTTACAAATTGTAAAAAAAATTAAATACTTAGGGATACGGTTAACGGCGAGATGTACGTCCCTAAAGGAGGATAATTACATGGTATTAATCTAACAAATAAAGAAAGATTTGGAAAAATGGGGGACACTACAACTATCGCTTTTAGGTAGGATAGCGACCATTAAAATGAATATCCTACCCAAATGATTATACTTATTGAGACAATTTTCATATCATTAGATAAGAAGTTTTTCGGAGAACTTAACAAAATTACTACAAAATTTGTTTGGTCAGGAAAGAAGGCAAGGATAAAACTACTCTCTCTCCAAGATAGCAGAAGTAGGGGGGTGCTTTGAACTCCTGACGTGGGAATTTTACCACAAGGCAGCAACTCTGGTTTGGATAAAGAATTGGGTGAACTTAAACAACAGAAGAATCTTAACACAGGAAGGACACGATCTGCAAAAGGCGTGGCATGCCTTTATGTGGGATAAAGGAAATAGGACACAGTCATATTTCTATAAGCACAAAATAAGAGACGCATTATTACAAATTTGGGAGGATATAAGGAAAAAAACATTACATGAAAATCCCTGGTTGGTTATCCACCATGGAAGCAATGATCCACCCGAACACATTAGATATAAGCAAAATGCCCAGACAGTCAGAAATTCTAAACAAAAAGGGAAAGCTTAAAAACAATCAGATACTAAAGGAACAGGGAATTTCTATTGATTGGTGGCCATATTTACAACTGCAATCTAGGTACTAGAAAGACATGGAAGAATAGTGAATTGACACAGAACCAAAACAACTAGACAAATTGATAATAGGCCCCAAAGGAAAATTAATATTCAAAATATACAATTATCTATTAGAATTTGATAGAGTAGAGGAGGTGGTGAAAGAACCGATGATTGCATGGGCTAAAAACATAGGGCATAATATAGATTTAGAGGATTGGGAAAGAATTTGGAACAAAAATTACACTATAACAAAATCCGCTGCTTATAAGGAAAATCAATACAAAATGCTTTACCGTTGGCACCTAGCCCCAGCAAGGCTGGCTAAAATGTACTTGAATTTAAGCCCAAAATGTTGGAAATGTAACCAACGTCAAGGTACCTTCTTTCATGCTTGGTGGCTATGTCCTGAAGCAAAAAAGTACTGGACTAAGATACAAGGTTGGCTACAAGAGATAATAAAATGTCAAATAGAACTAAACCCGGAAACATTTATTCTGGGAATACTTAAAAGAACATTTGATAGAAAGATAAGATATTTGATTCTACACATATTAACAGGGGCAGAATTGCGTTCGCACAATACTGGAAGAAATGCAATACACCATCAAAGGGATTGATCATTCAGAAGATATATGAATGTGCCAAAATGGATAAATTTACCCTAGAACTAAAAGAAAAAGCTGATTCAGAATTTTATGCGGTTTGGGAAAAATGGTACACTTGGATAGATAATAGAAATAAAAATTGGAAATATACATAAGGCTATTGAGGATTAGATATTGAATGTATATAATGTATATATTGTATGGAATGTTGATCCAAAGTATACAAAAATGACACAGTCTGTTGATTATGTACTAGAGTTGTGTAAAGGAAAATTGTAATAAAAATTATTTCAAAAAAAAAATATCAAAATCTTATTTATTTGAATAACTTTTTATCAAAATATATTTTACTCTTATCATGCACAATGAAAGCTGAAATATATTGCTGCTCTTATCACAGATAAATATTAAAATATATCTGCATGTATTTAAGATATGTTAAAAACAATATATATATATACAATATGTGTAAAAGACTTGCACACTTACTGATGGCATATACATATTTTTCTTAGGTACAATATGCAAACCCCAGCTAAAATATTTCCAACAAAATATAAAATATAGTCATTGAGCCTGTTGTCAATGACTATATATCATTTAACCTAATGCCAGAAAAGTTTGTTACAAAAATAGACTGTGGGTACATTAATGTTGCCACATATTGAGTTATTTGTAATAAAATGATACCTATCAATGGCACACATATATACAAAATATATATTTAAAAAAAGGAACAGTTTAAATAATTTCAATCCCAAACACAACAAAAAAGATCCAAAGAGTTCTAAAAAAGTTCATGGACACACATAGTTTCAATTCTCTGGTTGAGAAGAATATTCTGAAGAGGTGTTACGTGAAATCTTCAACAATTCTGAAGTTTCCTCAACCCTTAAAACATAAAATACATAGACAGTTAAATGACTCTTCCAAAATGTAAAAACAGTAGCAATTTTGTATCTACATTAAAATTGGTAAATTTATAGAAATATGATTGAACAGTTGTATTCTATTATGTTAAATGACTTTTTAATTTTCCATATCAATAAATATTTCTCACTAGAAACTTAAAAATTATGAGTTTTTTTAAAAAAAGACTTTCCAACAAAACATCACTGCTTTTTCAAACCAGATTACTACTTAATTGAAGATTACTTTTTTCAGCAAAGCACTGCTAATAAAAAAAAAGTTTAGCAAATAAATACTTTAAACTTTATTATTAAAGCATCTCCTATGTCTTCCAAAAATAAAAAAAATATGTCTCATTGCTTTAATAATAAAGAACTTTAGTTTGATTTATTGTCTAATACAATTTAAAGAAAATACTACCTCATGGGAGTATGGGAAACACATGTACAGTATACTCATAATTTGATGAGGGAGGAGTTTCAGTTAAAATGGAATGTCCACTAAGTCTGAGTGGTGTGCACAATTGAAATTGAGCATTTCTTTGAGCATTTTTATTTATTTATGCATATGTAAAATAGTAAATAGAAGGTTTTGCCTGCACATAATGAAAGATTCTGTTCACTTCATCTGATTGTCAGCCCCTGGGTCACCAGCCGGTTGCTAGCAAAACTGTTCATTGTGCACATTTATCGCCTGCCAAGGAGGATTGTCTCTGATTGGGGGATACAGTTTACTGCTAGGTTTTGGTAAGAATTCTTGAAAATGGTGGGATCCTCCCAGGGCCTCAGTTCTGCTTTTTACCCCGCCACCAATGGAACATCTGAGAGAGCCAATGCGATGCTGGAACAGTATGTCCGCTGCTATGTGCGGTACCAATAGACTGACTGGCCCAAGTTACTACCATTCGCCAAGGTGGCCTATAACAACATGGTGCATAGCAGCACCGGGTTCACTCCTTTCTGGATAGCGAATGGGATTGACTTTGTCCAGATACCAGAGTGCCCTCGGGAAATCTCTGCTGAAGTGAGCCTGAACGAGTGGATTGCTGGCATGCAATGTGTGTGGGAAAATGTCAGGAGGGGCCTTACGGACAGCCGCAGAGGCCTACAAAGTGCAAGTGGATAAAAAGCGTAGTCCACAAACCCAATTTCACATCAAGGAGCAAATGTATCCTCCACAAAGTACCTCAAGCTCAAGGTACCTTGCCGAAAACTAGCACCAAAGTTCTTAGAGCTATTCCCCATTGTGAGGGTCATCAATCCAGTCACAGTGGAACTCAAACTCACTCAACTATTAGGTAAAACGTGGAAAAATAAAGAGAAGTATTAGCTAAAATATTAACTTGTGCGGAAATGGAACATTGTCTCACCTGAATGTTCATTTGATGATCATTGCGACGACATTCTTTACTCTTGGGACATCTTCACTTCGATTGGATTTTACTGAGTGCTCATCAAACTTTTTCTCCCTCTGCAGCCTAGTTCCGCCTCCTCCCTCTGCACATGATCAGTTCTTTTCACGATGTCACTTCTTGACTTCTTTTCATGCTTTTCGCAGAATATCAACTGCAGAAGGAGTAATGAAAAACACCCCCCACGACCACCATACCAATACCCTAAGGGTGGGTCAGAATGTTGTCGCAACGATCATAAAATGAACATTCAGGTGAGACAATGTTCCATTTTCATGCATCGTTGCTCCGACATTCTTTACTCTTGGGATATACCCAAGCTTTGTCTATTAGGGTGGGTTTCTAAGTCTTTTTCCTGTTGTCGTGGGGAAATTATTGATTGTAATACTCTTCTCCCAAATGCTGCATCAGCTGACGCAAAGGAGTCTATTTTATAATGTTTTACAAATTATGAAATAGAAGACCCGTGTACCTGCCTTACATATTTCTTCTATTGATGCCTGGGTGGCCCATGCAGCTGATGTCGCTACACTACGTGTTGAATGAGGTAACACTCTACTAGGTACCTTTACCCCTTGTGAAGCATATGCTGCTGATATACATGCCTTAATCCATCTTCCTACTGTATTGGAAGATACTTTTTTTCCCATCGAGGAAGGTAAAAAGGATACAAATAATGCTTCCGTTTTACGGAATGTTGCAGTTCTTTTTATATATCTTATTAAAGACCTACGTACGTCTAGAGTATGCCACATTTTTTCCAATGTATGTTTTGGATCTGGGCAGAAATTTGGTAGAACTATTTCTTGAGCTCTATGGAAATAAGAATTTATTTTCGGTATGAATGTTGTATCTAGTCTTAGTACTACTCTATCTGGGTAAAAAGTGCACAAATCATTCCTAATAGATAAAGCTGCAATTTCTGATACTCTACGTGCCGATGTTATTGCTATTAAGAATGCTAATTTTATTGTTAGCCATCTTATACTTATTGAAGCTACTGGCTCAAATGGCGACTTTGTAAGCGCCTGTAATACTAAATTGATATCCCATGAAGGATATCTGTGAATCTTAAGTGGTCTTAAATTCATTGCACCCCTTAGGAATGATTTAATTCTCTTGTCTTGACTAAGAGATTTTTTATTGCATCCTTCTAAAACTGTAGCTAGTGCTGCTACTTGTCTTTTCAACGTAGAGGGTGCAAGACCTCTCTCTAACCCAGCCTGAAGAAACAACAATACTTCAATTTCATTAGCCGATGTAGGATCAACATGATGTTCTATACACCACTTTACAAACGTATTCCAAGTAGCATTATAAATACGTGTTGTTGATGGTCTCCTGGCTGCTTGAATGGTATAAATTACTTCCTTAGGAAGATTATCTTTTGCTAATTTGATCCTTTCAATCGCCAAACGGTCAATTTTAACCAATTTGGCTTTGGATGTTGAACCTTTCCTTGAATGAGAATCATCTTTGCTGGTGGTATTCTCCATGGATTTTGTATCAATAGTTGTAGTATTTCTGCAAACCATGGCCTGCGTGGCCAATATGGCGCTACCAATATCATCTCTGCTCTTTCTTCCAGAAGTTTCTGAATTACTTTCTGAATAATTGGGATTGGAGGAAATGCATACATAAGCCCTACTGGCCAATGAGATCTTAGAGCATCGTGGCCTTCTGCTCCTGCCACTGGAAACCTCGCAAAGAATCTTGGGAGCTGTGCATTCTGTAGTGTCGCAAACAGATCTACTACTGGTTTTCCAAACCTCTGAACTATCTCCCTGAATACATTGGGATGAAGCATCCACTCTGACTGATCTATTTTTCCACGACTGAGCCAGTCTGCCTGTTGGTTTTTTTCTCCTGATATATGTTCTGCCTTTATTGACATTAAATGTGTCTCTGCCCAAGATATCAGTTGTGCTGTCTCTTCCATGAGATCTTTTGATTTTGTTCCTCCCTGACGGTTCACATGCGCCTTCGTGGCCATGTTGTCGGTTAGAATTAATACATGCTTGTTTACTAGAAGATGATGAAAATGGTTTAATGCCATTCTTACTGCTCTTAATTCCAACCAATTGATTGGTTGTTTCTTCTCTAAGGGAGACCAAATTCCCTGTGCTAATAGACCCTTCAGATGGGCCCCCCATCCGTACAAGCTGGCATCTGTTGTCAATATTACTGGTTCTGATTGAAGAAAAAATGATCCCTGCTGAATTGCAGAAGGTAACCACCATTGAAGAGACATTTTGACTTTTTTTTGGTACTAACACTTTGTATAGAGTGTGCGCTGTTTGTCTTTTTTGAAATGGCAGTAGAAACCACTGTAGATTGCGAGAGTGGTATCGAGCCCAGGGTACTATTGCAATTGCTGATATTAGCTTGCCTAGAAGTTGAGACAGTGTTAGTAATGTAGTTTTCTTTTGAGATAGTATTTGAGTAATCAGATCTTTGATACTGTTCTGTCTGTCTTGAGATAGGTATACCATACCCTTTGTTGAGTCTATTATAGCTCCCAAGTGCTGAATTCTTGTTGTTGGGACTAAGTGACTTTTTTCCATATTGATTGTGAACCCATGAGCTTGTAAAGATTTTATTACTAACTGTCTGTCTCGACATGCCTGAGTCTCTGATGTCGACAGTATTAAAATATCGTCTAGGTAACATACTAGACGAATTGGAATTAATCTGAAAGAAGCCGCTACCGCTGCCAGAAGTTTCGTAAATGTTCTCGGTGCGGAGGAAAGGCCAAAAGGCATTGCCTTGTATTGAAAATGCCTGCCCGCATATTCGATTCTGAGATATTGTCTGTACATTGGGTGAATTGGTATGTGTAGGTATGCTTCTTTGAGATCTATTGATTGCATTATGTCGCCTTGTCTGATGCATCCCAGTAATGACTTTAGTGAATGCATTTTGAATCTTCTGTATAATATTTTCTTGTTCAATTGTCTCAGATTCAGAATTCCCCTCCACCCCCCTGAGCTTTTTGGTACCAGAAAGAAACTGGAATAAAAATCTGTTCGAATTTGATGTTTTGGAACCGGTTCGATTGCATTGATCTGGATTAGATGTTGAATTTCTGTATTCATCAGCTCTCTTTGAGATGGATGGTTGTGCCATGTACATTGTAGGAACCTTTGTGGTGAGGGGGAGGTAAATTCCAAAGTGAGACCGCTTGTCACTGTATGTAATATCCATGCGTCTGTCGTAGATAGTTCCCATTGGTGAAAGAAATGTTGACGTTTGCCCCCAGTGGGAAGGGCATCTTTCGAGTCACTTGCCTCTACGTGATTGTCGTGACATGGTACCTCTAAAAGGTCTCTTGAAAAAATTTTGACGTCCTCCTCTTCCACGAAAGGAGTTCCTATCATTTGAATATCCATATGAATAGAGTTGTGGGTTACTACGCTGTGTGAAGGCATTTGTAGATCCTTGATCATAACGAAAGGATTGACGTTGATAAGGCGAGAATCTGCGGTCCGGTCTTCTATATAATGAAGGTAATACCTTCTTCTTATCTCTTCCTTCTATGAGAATTGGATCTAGTGAAGTTCCAAATAAAGAACGACCTTTATAAGGTGCTGATGTAAGCCTCTACTTAGATTTTGAATCTGCTCTCCAATGTCTCAGCCAAAGGAGTCGGCGTGATGAAATTGATGAAGCAAGAGCCCTAGATGTGAATTTTGCTGCATCTAATGATGCATCAGCAGAATATTCTGCTACTGCTATAAGTTTTGATATGTCTTGTTGAATTCTAGATTCTCCTGGTGGTAATCTTTCCCTCAGTTGACGCAGCCATATAAGAGAGGCACGGTTAAAGAATGAAGAAGAAATTGCTGCTCTAATTGCCCATGCAGCAGCTTGATGAGTCTTACGACATGTCATGTCAGCTCTTTTATCTTCTACTTTAAGGCCTTCCCCAACCTCGCTAACTAAGACAGAAGATGAAGTTAATGTTGCTACAGGTTCATCTATCAACGGTAATTGTAGTAATTCATCCAATTCAGGAGCAACACAATATAATTTTTTATCAAAACTGTTCAGTCCCGATGTAGAACTAGGGTGTTCCCATGGTTTTTGTATAATTTGTGAGAAAAGATCTGGACATGGTACAAAATCTAAATCCGAATTGGGTAAGTTAAATAAAGTATTATTATGGTCAAGTTGGCCACCTGACTCAGATGTTTTTTCTATGTTGACACCCAAATTGGTAGCTAATTTTGCCTTACGCAACAATGACTTAAATAAGGCTGGATTAAAAATACCTTGGAATGCTGGCTTTTCTGAAACCATTTCCTCTTCATCATCTGACATATCAAATTCTTCTAGACAATCAAGTTCATCTCCTTGATTAAAGTAATTAACAGATTGTTGCTGTTGTTGGGGATGTATCTGATGTCGACAGTTAGTGCTGGTGGATGCACCAGACTGACAAGGATAGCCGGTTTGTTGCAGACCAGCTTGAAATATGCGAGAAATTGTCTGCGAAACTAATGTTTGAAAATCCATGGCATTACTACCATTTGGGCCTTCTTCTCCCTCAGGCTGTTGGCGTGAAAGTAGCCTCAGGTGGACCATGAATCATATGTTCAGCTATATGTAAATGACCTGAGCACATAGGCCCTTGAGGTGCGAGCCTCCTTGACTCATCAATTAAACAATGACTTTGTGGTTCTATAGATATACTATCTTGACCCCACACATTTGAATCTTCCTCATTTAATTGAGGCATTGTATTTTCAGATTGCTGAAGATTAACTGCTTCAGACTGAGATGTAATAGGCACCAATTGCGCTGCGCGCTGGGCCTTTTCAAATTGGCGTTCTAATTGATTATGCCTACGTTTTTCCATCATATTAGAACTTTTAAGACTATTAGTTTGTGTGCCATTATTATCCTGACAAGGAATAGACACATGTTTGGTTTTGCCTCGTTTTTTTCTTAGAGGCTGGGGCAAAGGTACTCTAGGAGGAGTAGTGACTTGTTCTAATTCAGAAGTTAATTCATCCTCTGCCATATTTGTTAATCAGGAGAATTAATGTAAATAGGTAAGCAATTAATTAATTAATTTATATATATATATATATATATAAAATTATATATGTATATATATAACAATCAATTTAATTAATAATATATTTTTTTAAAATTATAATGAATTGTAAAAAAACTTCCCTGAGGTGAACTTCCTCTTCAGTCTGCAGTTGATAATTGCGCAGTATATAGAGATAAACGGCCAACGGAATTTCTTGTACTTTAAAATGGCGGCGCTTTCAAATTTCTATTCAGCCAATGTTAAACTGCTGAGTGCTCGAGCTCACTGATTTTTCTCATGCAGATATAAAGAAAATAGCGCTTACAAGCGTCTTATTTTTTTCTCAAATAATTACTTTTGTAATGCGATCTCGCCTTTGATAGCTTTGCCTGACAGGCAGACTTCAATATTTATTCATCATAAATAGCCGGCTATCACAAGCGGCAGTTTGTTTTCTCGCCAATTTTAGTTATTTTCTTTCCTGGAGCCTGACTTTCTGTTGCAGGAACTCCAATGCCGCAAACAGAGGCTGCAATGGTATAGGCGGTTATCCCAGCACGCCAGTTAACCAGCTCTCACACCGCGGCAATTTGCTTTTGAAAGAACAGCGTCCACTTCAAAGCGGATCGCTGCTGAGCAATTAGTGAGGCAAACGGCTTTCTATTTAGAAGTGGCAGCAGACTCAATATCAATAGAAAAAAACTGCCGATATTGTAACAATCGCCTCCAGCAGCCCCCTTAATTTAAATAAAGGTATATTATTTCTTTGAAAATTCCAATTAAATGAATTAATTAATGTTAATCTACCAGACTAATTAGCACTCCAGTCCTACCACATCAACTAAGTGAAAAGAACTGATCATGCGCAGAGGGAGGAGGCGGAACTAGGCTGCAGAGGGAGAAAAAGTTTGATGAGCACTCAGTGAAATCCAATCGAAGTGAAGATGTCCCAAGAGTAAAGAATGTCGGAGCAACGATGCATGAAAATGGACACGTTGACTCTGAAACTTAAAAGATAAGAACGAAACAGGTATTACAAAATTTGGAACAAATTTTATTATTGGCTGGATAGGAGGAGGAATGCTGGGATAAAGGAATATGACGAGTTGAATGTTTAGACGTTTTTAATGTTAGTTTTCTGTGATAAAAAGGAACGAACTTGGTATTGATATAACCTTCATAGATGAAAGAATCTACATGTTTGAAATGTGATAAATAGTGTAAAACTTGTATAGAGATAAGGAATTGTATTGATTGCAAGGTAAAACTTGACAAAAATGTTTAAACCGGAGACATCATACTATGTTCAATGTTTTTAATTTGTATTATTAATAAAAAAAACTTTTTAAAAACCTATTAGGTAAAACCCACCCAGTATTCCATAGCAGCCTACTACACCCAGTGAAAAGAGCAACCATACGGGGGCCCCCAAGCCAGGTGCCCCCACCCATACAAGTGGGAGGGGAGCTCCACTACGAGGTGGAATGGATCCTGGACTCCTGTAGGCACAGGGGCCTACTACAGTATTTAGTGCAATGTCAGAAGCCTCGTGGGTGAAAAGCGACGATATAAGACCATCCTGGTTGGTGAAATGGTTTCATCAACAAAACCCAAGGAAACCAGGAGGAGGTGGAGGGGGGCTAGTATCCAGGAGACGTCTCATGGTGTCCTTTGCCTTCCAGGTGTCATCCCTGTGGTAGGAGGGCCGCATGTCAGCCCCTGGGTCGCCAGCCAGCCTGGGACTGCTATTTGGGCAGGAAAGGAGAGCCGCCAGCTGGGACATGCGTCAAAGCCTGCCGACCACACCCACCAAACACCCGCATACCACCCAACTGAGCCATGCAGGGTGCATAAACAGGCCCCCTGCCGAGCGGCAGAGAGGGCAGGCACATCTACGAGCAGCCTGCCACATCTATGGAGTCCTCAGACAGCCACCTCAGCTGCGGGCTTCACAAACAGCTGATGCATGGAAGAACATATGGGTGGCAGAGCGTGCACAGGTGCAGGGAGCCTGACATGCCAGAAAAGAGCATGGCATGCCAGATAAGAAGCTCAGATACTGCAAAGACATGGGCAAATTGGCAATGCATGAGGGGTGGGAAGTATATGGTGCGGGCCTAGAGGTGGAACCGTGGGGGCAAGGTAGAGAGCATTTAAGGGTGGAGGGTTAAACCACAGTAGAACTGACTTTGTTTTCTTCATTGTTTGTTACTCTGTGTCGGGTTTCCAGCTTGCAAGATAAAAAGTGCCCAATTAACTTTGTTGTCTGCATTTCTTGGCTGCTAAACACTGGAACGTGACACCGATATTGCTTTAATCAAGGTCCATTAAATTGTTTTCTGTATTCTGTATCTACATTTGAAATCTTATTTGCTAAAAAATAATACTGGATCATCTTACTTACATTTTGCTTATTCTTTCCATTTTTTGAATTGTTGTTTCCTACAATTTAAAAGCAAGAGTTTTAACTTTGTACACTTGCATTACCAAAGACAAATAAAATCACAAACTTTCTATAGCTCTGCCAATATATATACGTGTGTGTGTGTGTGTGTGTGTGTGTGTGTGTGTGTCAGTTTTAACTTACCTTTGAAACCTCTGACACAACATCATCATTAACAGCCAGGGCTTTGGGAGATGGATCTGCAGATACAGATGAACTATATCCAGATGACTGATGAGGACTGTCTGGCAATTCTACTTTCTTTTTATCTGTGAAAAACTCAGATTTTAAAGATCAGCTTTACCTTTACACATTTTAATCATATAGTCTGATTTACAAAATATATTCATAAAAGAAACTGATAAGAACTTGTAAAGCAATATTCTCAGGTGAATTCAGAGGTGACTATTATAATGTAAATTATTACAATATTATAATCAATGCAACATGATAAATTACTTTACTCCCAACAGAATCCTTTTCTACAGAGTTCAAAGAATTACAATTTACAAGATGTGAATCTGTAATTTTTCTGCCTATGTTTTTGAGGTAGCTACAAGTTGTTTTTAAAAATCAACCAACCCCTATATGGAAATGCCAATCTTTTTATATTGAGAAAATAATAGTTAATTCTGTCTAAAGGAAGAAAGCATATGAAATTGTCGGATTGATCTCAGATCTTAGAAACAGCATCTGTATTTTATTATACTTCAAAACTTTTTCAACTGTCATACACTAAAATTAATTTATAGGTTGATACTTCTACAGAAGTACTGTAGCTTAGTACCAAAATATAATGCTTTAGAGAAAATAAAAATTCAATTTTCAATTAAAATACTAAACAATACAGTTGAAACCACAGAGACAGATTAAATTTGTTCCTGATTCAGACTCTTTATCTGAAAGAATACCACAGAACATATTTGTCAGAAATTTTTATTTTTGTTCTCTGAAAATCTTGTTAAAAACATTGAAATAACTAAAATCTAAATAGCTAGTTAAGTTGCTAAATAGCAATAATATTTAAAGTATTTAAAAAATGACTACACTATATGCCATAGTAACTAAAATTCAGTTTGACTAAATTTCCATGCAATATAACATATTCAATTAGATAGCATTTTAGGAAAAAAAAAAAAAAAGCAGACTGATAGCAAGAAGTACTTACCAGAAGATGGAGTCATGTTTCTGCTAGAAGAATCTTCTTCACTCACATTATTTAATGCTGTAGATAAATCAGCCTGAAATTGAAAAATATTTTACTGTTAATAACGCATGAATTATTCTGTAAAACAACTAGTTATTTTGAAGTTTTCAGTCCTACTTCTGCAATAACTAAGTTATTTTATAATCATTTTATAACATATTAGTAGCATACTCAATAGTCTTAACTTTCAAAAATTATAATTAATTCAGGAATCAAATTCTTAGATATATAAATCCAATCTTCCTATTTTACTGCAGTTACAGTATCACAATCCGTGAATTGGTATTATGTGATTAACATAACCTTCAAACGCTGAATTGAAACACTATCCAACCTGAGTTAAAGTGATATTTTTGTAGATTATGTTTCAAATTGTAGTTCATTAAATATGGTTAAGAACTGCATAGTTTACTGCTTATATCATCAAAAATTCTAGTACTATACTATTGACATTTGATAGTATAACATTCATGGATTAGATCTACTACTTTTTTTCTATGATACAAAAGAGTTACTGGGATATTTTTAGTATGAATTCAAAACCCTTGCATTAAAAAACAAAGTAATTAAATCCCCAATGTATTTTCAAACACTAAGAGAGCCAGAAGGGTATAATGGTTAAAGTGGTAGGCTATGAGCAGGGAGAAACAGCTTCTAATTCTCCCTCAGGCACAGAACCCAGCTGAGAGTCACTCTCTTTTAATGGTATAAGACTCTGTGACCAGCCAACTGATAAACAAACTATCTCTTGCAAAACCAATCACTCCTGAAACCATGTAGGACAAACACTAAGAAAAGCAACAATGATCCTATCTTGAACACAAAAATAATGCCTCTTTGTTATACATTCTCTGATTCAAATTTACAATTTTAAAATAATGCTTTGAGAAGCAGAAACCTGTATATCATTTTAGCACAGCACTAGAAATGTATTAAAAATAAAATAAATTACTTAAAATAGAGAATTTTCAAATAATACAGAAAAGTGATGAATAGCCAACACAGCAATATTCCACACATTAACAATTATGTTCATTAATATGAAGTAATAGTAAATGTATTACTAAGAGCAGCAATTGGAATAGAGTTACTATTTTCAGTAGTTTCTATAGGCTTTCCATTATAACTGAAAAAAATAATATTTTAGAAGGTTGTCTTTGGAAAAGAACATTCTTTAGTTTTGATAACCTCGTGCAGTATAAAATATGGAGAGTTTATGCTATCTGAATTAATAGTTAAGCCAGATAATCCTTAAAAGTAAAATTAAATATTAGATTACTGTATTTCTAATTTTTAACACAGAGGAAAGTACATAATAAAACATACTGTTTTCGAATGAAGCAACAGTTGTGTTTCAAGGAGGAGGACACGGCTCAAAAGATTATTCCACTCATTCTCTTCTATAACAATTTTCCCTTGCAATTTCTTCTCTAAAGTCTGTAACTTTTCGTCCACACTGCTCAATGAATGAAACTTTTGCTGCAGTTCAGCAAGTTGACTCTTCAAGTCTTCTAATTCATTGTCCTTCTTTACAACCTGAAAATAACATAATTTTCATTCACTATAGTCATAGCACAAGTTTAGATTTTTACTAATTACATGAAACATGTAAAGACCTCCATATGAAGTCAAAAAGCATATCCACAGTGCTGGTTCATTCACTAGAACCCTGTGCACTAGCACTCATACCACACAACCTATAAGTAAAAAAAGACTGGTGAAAGTTCTAATAATTCACATATAACCTGTTGCCAGTTCAGATTTGATTTTAGATCTGCTCTGTAGAAGAAAGGATAGTTAGCAAAACATTCATTACCTGACATGCATTGCCTGAAATACATAAACGATAGAAAATATTGTATTTTCATTGATCCCATGGCTGAGTTCCATTTGAGTGCAGCTGGACTTCCACAGGACAAAAGTGGCGAGGGGGAAAAGGTGATTATTTTTGTCATATTTCATGCTTTCCTGCACCATATGATTGCCTTGTCAAAGCGACAAAACTTATAGAACTCTAGAACCAATTCTTTATATTTATTCATTAGACATAATCAATTTATTCAGTTCAATATAGTAATGCAAAAGCTTTTTATCTAAATAGCTTTAGTCATATTAATGTTTATTCAATTATGATTTGTCTCCTAGTACTACTACAAACATTGGTTTTCAAATGTCGTTTTAACAAGCAGAATTGGCCTAAGAAAATAAGAATGGGCTTACCTGTACATCTATATTATCCAAGACATCAGTGTCATAATCCAAAACTTCAACCTTATTTACAACGTAATCTTTCACTTCCTGCAGCGTTTCACTGATGAAATCTTCAGGGATGATTTCATCAGGCATGTTAGTTACACTTTTATGACGTTCTATTTGAGGTTTCTGTCCATGTAAAAGACCCCACCCAAAGTAATAGTAAAGGATGAATTAAACAAAATTGATTCAATTAAAAAGCATTTTGATTTAATGTATCGGTGGAATATATTTGCACTGATATTCACTACAAATACTTGCTTTCCTTAATATTACACAGACAGGTAATCTCAAGCCTCAAGGGCAAGGTAGGCCCTCTTTTTGAACATCAGTTCCATTTGTATAATTGTGAGAATCAGTTTAAGTGTCAAGTTCATAAATTCATAAATTTCACAGAGTATGTGGTTAGTGATGGATATGATTTCTTAATATGCTTTCTTAAGAAAATTTATTTTTATTTTAAAAAATTCATTCATAATTGAGAAATCCACTATAACCAAATATCTTATCCTGCTCAAATTAGGGATTGAAAAACAGCCAACAAATGATACGCTAATAAAAGAGAGCCCATTTTTAAAATATCCATTGTAATTGTTCCTTTTAATCTCTATCTCTGCTGTATATTAATCAGAGTAAAGTGGAATAGAAATGTCAATTTTCCTAGGCAGCAATCTTTGTATGACTGTCCTCATTCAGTGAAAAATAATCCATTAGCAGACTGTTAATTTAAGATAAGAGATGACAGAATTGCCAGATTCAGCGGTTTAAGGGGGAAAAATAGATCAATAGATCTTCATTCTATCACCTCAATCATTGATTGATATACTGAAGTCTTTACACAGCCTTCTTAAACTGATTAAGATGAAACGTAGAACAGTTGTATCTAAATTATGAACAGCCACTGATAATCCACCACTAATCATAATATATTATTTTGTCTGTTTTTTGAGCCATGGTGGCACAGTGGTTAGAGTGCAGTATTGCAGGCTACTTCTGCTGACTGCCAGCTGCCTGTAATTTGGCAGTTCAAATCTCACCAGGCTCAAGTTTGACTCAGCCTTCCATCCTTCCGAGGTGAGTAAAATGAGGACCCAAATTGTTGGGGCAATATGCTGACTCTGTAAACAGCTTAGAAAGGGCTGTAAAGCACTGTGAAGCAGTACTGTATAGAAATCTAAGTGCTATTGCTATATTTGTTTTTATCATTATTGTTTTTAATGCTTTTATTTGTAATGCTGGCCTGTGACTGTAATAAAAATTGATTGATTGATTATACTATGACCATTTGAAAGTCATTTTACAGTACAAGGATGCAAAGTTAAGAAAAGAAATTATATAATCAGTTCGGTAAGATAGCATAAAGCAGTTAACATCCTCCCTGAACATTATTATTAACAACAAAGCTACTTATGCTGAAAACAGATAAAACATAAAAATAGTATCTGGGAACACCAAAATATCCATTAGGATAAATATTTTAAAATAACATGAAAAATATTTAACTCTTATATTAAAATATATTGAATATTCCTACCTGCTGCAAATCCACAGTATTGATAGCTACAGTAACAGACTGATTAGAAAAACTTGTGTGGGATAGAGATTTAACCAAATGGGTTCTCTTTTCTGTTTGGATTTTTATCTATAAGATATAGAAAGTCAATATCCAGAGTTATGCTAAGAACTGCATTTTATGCAAACCAGAGTATGTTTATTACATCAGTCTCCTGAAATTCAGGATCTTAAAAGTACATGATGGATGATACATAATTCATACCAATCATATCAATACACTAATGGAATAGCACTGGTCAGCAGATAATATGGGAGGAAGGACAACTATCTCTCCAAAAACTGTTCTGAGAAAAATGAGATATTCTGACAATTTATGGATAGGGAAATTTTTGGAAACCTATATATACATGTGGAAACTTTCATACACAAAGCTATTAGTGCAATAAACTTTTCTCATAAATTTGAATAAATTTACAACTAATTTAGTAACTATTAAAACCATTGCAACTTTAACTGCAAGACAGATGTAGGAAAAAAATTTAAATGAAAGAATGAAATAAATAAAATTGTAATGTTCCAAACATCAGAAAGAAAAAAACTCTAAATTATAGTGTGTTTAGTAAGTAGCATATAAATTAAAAGGCAATGATTTAATTAATAAAAACATTAATAAATGAAAATGTGAGTTATTACATTTTTCTGAGTTTAGAAAACTAGCTTTTTCTTTAAAATGCTAAGAATTTTTTATATTAACTAGTTTTTTTCTTTAAAAATTAACAAAATTAATTTTCAATACCTTATTCATGTTACTGAATTCTTTGTGCCTTTTATAAATGTAACTAATAATATCACAAACAATCTGTATTTTTCTTTCTGCAAAGCCATATTGAAGGAACTGCTGTTTTGACAGGACTGGTTTGTACTGAAATTGATCACGAAGAAGCTGCAGAGGATAGATTTAAAAAAGGAATTTATTTTCATAATACCGGTACTTACCGTATTTTCCGGCGTATAAGACGACTGGGCGTATAAGACGACCCCCTACTTTTCCTGTTAAAATATAGGGTTTGGGCTATACTCGCCGTATAAGACTACCCCTCTTCCAACGCACACCAAATAAAAATTAAAAAACATCAGATTTGATTTCAATATGGTAATTTTAATTCAAATGCTTATGCCTTTCCAAGAATCTAGTACACCAGGATACAGTGGCCTTAAATCTGTTGCTGTGATCTGGGTTAGATTTGGCCCACTGAAGTGCAAACAAACGTATTTTATTTCGTGTCACTACATAACCGTTTTGGCGGTGCTCATTCACCATGTCTGCTACATGTTTTTCGAGTTCTGGCCAATGTGGGGTGCCTCTTCTTAATGCACACTTACCCCTTGGCATACTCTTTAACGCTTTTACATTTGCTTTCCAGTCCCGAACCATCTTTTCTGTTACTCCATATTGTCTTGCAGCAGCACAGTTATTATGTTCCATGGCAAAGTTTACAACTTTAAGTTTAAAACTGCCTTCATATTTCTTTCTTCTTGCTGGTGGAGCCATGATGGGGTCTTGACTGTTATATTTGTATACTATACTGTATGTACTGTTGCTGTACTGTATGTATTGTTGCTGTACTGTAGAGAAAGGTAATGGGCTACGCTACGTGTAGTGGCAAGAGGGCTATTTTGTACCAGGTTTTCTTCCTTCACCCATGCAGCCTTGTTGAGATCCGCACACTTCATGAATCTGAGTTGCTGGCACTGACTGATGACACTGACAGAAAGCTGTGCCGATCTAGTCAAGGCTGCATGCTGCTGAATGCTGGAACCAGCTGGCTGCTGAGTGGAGCTTCTCCCAGGCATCTAGGGGGGTATTACCGACACTCCGACTTACCCAGCTGACCCCCACTGATGGCGAGCTCCACCGGTCTGGGGAAGTCAGAGCGTCGGTAATATCTCCCTGGATGCCTGGGGGAAGCTCCGCGCAGCAACCAGCTGGTTCCAGCATTCCAAGGAGGTCCACGGTGAAAGCGGCGCCACGGTCGACCTGGGCCAGCACCTTGCACACCTGGCTCTGCGTCTCCATTATGAGAAGCTCCATGCGACTTCGCATGTCTCCGCCCCAGTCGCGCAGCTCTCGCAATCCGCTCACCGGAGGAGCCATGAAGTGCTCGCACCACCTTGCCAGATCTTCCTTGTCCTCCTTTCCCCATGGCTTTTCCAGTTGTAATTGTTGCTGCTGCTGCCACCGAGGCTGCTCCTTCATCTCCGCCCGCCGCACCAGACCCAGCCCGGCCAGCACCGCTGTGGCTCCCGCAGTCCAAACGGATCGGCACCCGGGCTCGCAGGCGAAGGGTGGGAGTGCGCAGCGCACTTTCCTGGCTTGGCGCCAATCTGGACGGCTGCAGTAATGGTGAGAGCGGGCAACCTCGGGAGAGCCATTTCGGGACTCCGTTTTGCACGTGTAGCGGATCCCAGTTACCAAGAAACCCGGAGAAGAGGCACAAGGGGGGTTTATCAAAAAGGAGCTTTAAAAGAGGTCTCGATACAGAGGACGTGGCGAGCATGTACACCGTCCACACAAACAGGCACCAAAGTCTCATTGCGGCAACGTTAAGCCGCGACTTTACACGCCTCCTAGTTTTAGGCTGCTTGTTCCAATGCCTTCGCGATAAGCCGGCAGAATCAAAATTCTTTTTTTCTTTCTTTCCCTCTCTCTCTCTCTCTCTCTCTCTTGGCGGCTTTGAACCCGTGGAATTGGGGGGGGGAGAGAGGGGGAATGTTATCAGCAACAAACAACAACAAAAAGTGTGTGTTTGTGGAGAGGGGAGGTAGTGGTAAAGGCGGCAGACCGTTTTTTTTTTTCCCCAAGCCGATCTCTTTCGCGGCGTATCCAGCCCGACCCCATTCAGAAGAAAGGCTGCAGCCGGAAAGAAACAGGGGGGAAAGACATCTGCACCTTTTGTTACATACACACACACGAAACCCACAGTTTTCTGGCCTCTCGCGCAGATCTGTTGTGGGGTGGGGTGGGTGGGAGCCACATAATTCCGGGAGGCGAAAAGGGGCGCAGGAATATTTCCAGAAATGAGCGAAATAATGCAATCCACGCAGCGACGCCCATATTCTCCCGTTCAGATTCTACCTCTGGCTGAGAGAAAACTGCCTTGAAAGTTTCTCTGCCCCCCCCCCACCCTTTAAACCCAAGGCCCTGCCTTGTTTGCAGACTAGAGCACTTCTTTCCCCCGCCCGATTAGCCCAGGTTAAAATCTTAAAAGCTCGGGCGCCCCTCAAGCCGCTTCTCCCGACATCGGGATGAACGAGAAAGCCGTTTTAGCTTCACCTATTCTTCCACACACACCCCTCCACCCCGGAAGGTAACTTAGCGCTGCTCCTCCTTTCCCCATGGCTTTTCTGGTTGTAATTGTTGCTGCTGCTGCCACCGAGGCTGCTCCTTCATCTCCCGCCCGCCGCACCAGACCCAGCCCGGCCAGCACCGCTGTGGCTCCCGCAGTCCAAACGGATCGGCACCCGGGCTCGCAGGCGAAGGGTGGGAGTGCACAGCGCACTTTCCTGGCTTGGCGCCGATCCGGACGGCTGCAGAAGGAACTGGGCACCGGCTGTCATGTCTTTTCTGCTGTGCGGGATTCGGCACCTGGGCTCCCAGGGTTTAAGCCTCCGGGCCGGCCCGCGCTGCTCCAGGATGTTCGCTTCGGGCTCCTTGGAATCGCTGCCAGGCGGTTCTTCCCGTTGGGACGATGGTGGGTGGCTGCGATCCTGGAAGAGGTGGTGAAATGCAGAGCAATACCTCGTGGGGAAGGAGTTCGCCGTGGCTCCCGCAGTCCAAGCGACGCCGATCGCTGCCACCCACCATCGCCCCAACGGGAAGAACTGCCTGGCAGCGATTCCAAGGAGCCCGAAGCGAACATCCTGGAGCAGCGCGGGCCGGCCCGGAGGCTTAAACCCTGGGAGCCCAGGTGCCGAATCACGCACAGCAGAAAAGACATGACAGCCGGTGCCCAGTTCCTTCTGCAGCCGTCCGGATCGGCGCCAAGCCAGGAAAGTGCGCTGTGCACTCCCACCCTTCGCCTGCGAGCCCGGGTGCCGATCCGTTTGGACTGCGGGAGCCACAGCGGTGCTGGCCGGCTGGGTCTGGTGCGGCGGGCGGAGATGAAGGAGCAGCCTCGGTGGCAGCAGCAGCAACAATTACAACTGGAAAAGCCATGGGGAAAGGAGGACAAGGAAGATCTGGCAAGGGGTGCGAGCACTTCATGGCTCCTCCGGTGAGCGGATTGCGAGAGCTGCGCGACTGGGGCGGAGACATGCGAAGTCGCATGGAGCTTCTCATAATGGAGACGCAGAGCCAGGTGTGCAAGGCGCTGGCCCAGGTCGACCGCGGCGCCGCTTTCACCGTGGACTGCTGGGAAAGAAAGGAAGGTGACCCGAATTCTGGGGTAGAGTGGGGACGCGTTCCTTTCTCGTGGGCCGCGCACTGCCTGGTACCTCTTGTAGGTTGGAACTAATTTGGAGTACAGCTTCCCCTCAATGTTGCCGGCGCTCCCAAAGTGTCATCGGTCAGCGCCAGCAACTCAGATTCAGGTACCCGGCGTATAAGACGACCCCCGACTTTTGAGATGATTTTCCTGGGTTAAAAAGTCGTCTTATACGCCGGAAAATACGGTATATGTCTGCTCAGCTACAGTAGGTATGGGGAAGCGCCTTTTCATAAAATTCCAGAGGCCTGCTTCTTTCCATGACCCTTTCTCTGGGTACTGAGAAATTGCTCTAATTCTCACTTTCTCTGAACAAAAAAAATGAGCACTTTTCTTTAAGCATAAAGAATAAATAACCAAATATTCTAGGTCACACTTTGGGGAAGAAAGCATCCTCTGCATAGAGATGTTAGCTAGAGGCCAACATATAGATGTTAGCTAGAAGACAGCATTTAGAAATTCAAGTCTTATAACACTATGCCATAATGCAGTAAAATTTAAACTGTTTAAATTTAAGGTATAATGACACTTTTACTTCTTCATTACTATTAATGGTAACATTGCCTCATTAGCATTTTAAGATATATACCTTATACATAGCATCAACAAAACGTGAATCATTCTTTGCTGTAAGTTCCATCCCTGATTCCATTACAAGTTCTGCAATATATGTTGAGAATGATGTGAAACAGTAGCTAATGATTGGTAAAAAATACAGATGGATCACCCTTTGCCAACCTGTAATGGAGGGAAAAGAAATAAGAAATTACTGATAATTCGAAACCTTTATATCCCACTTTATCACAATAGTTTTATTTCTATATTTCTGAAACACTATCAGGAGACCATGGCTACATTTATTTAAGACTATTTTATATTCTGTTTTCAGAATCATTAATCTGCATTTTTTGGAATGAGTGCATCATTACTTTTTAACATGTAAAAACAACAAAAATTGAAACGGTAGTTTCTTAAGCCTTTCGCAAAGAGGACTGGGTTTATTTTTTAACTTTAGACAAAACATTCACTGCCTAGGTAAAGAGATTCAAAAAGTAATTTTTATATGGAGAGAGATGTTGCAACAACAAATCACTATGCACTTGATATGTGCTATTTTAAATACTGTATTCTGAATTTCATTGAAGTTTAGTATCTTATATAAAATGGTAGGAATCTGTTTAAACAACAATAATAATCGCCAGTTTAAAATCATCTAACAGTTAATGTAATCTTAGCTAAATACTTATTGAAAAATAAATGCTATGGCATGGAAACAAATTATTTATTTTATTATGATTCATTTATAAATGAATAGGATGACAAATCTGTTAGAACAATTTTTTTCACTTTACGACAACACAGAGATCAAACAAAAGGACAAAGCCCAACTCTCCTTAGACACTTATCAACTTTACATATAGCTTTTATTTTTCAATTATTGTTTATTTCTTATTTAACTTTCTAATTATAAGCCACCAGAGCAGACAGAAAAATTGCCTAATGGTAAAATTATTTTTGTTAAAAAAAATACAGACTTTCTTCTGTATCGGAATGGAACAACTCGGCACAGCCAACTTGGCATAGCCAGCTTGCCACCAAGTCTCTTCTGCCAACTCATTGGCTCTAAGTCATCGTAGGATAACTCAACACAGCCAATTCACTGTGGGGACAACTCACCAGGGAGAACCAGGTGAGTGAACAAACAGGTGGGCAGAATGCAGAGTAGCAGCAGCTGGGGGCTTCCATTTTTCATACACCACCACCACCACTGCACCAAGCTCCAAGCTGTTCAAAGTTTGGCCTATTCAGGGGCAGCAGGGAGGTGGCAGAAACTGTATCCATCCCATTTTCACATCCCTGCCACCACTGTGGGACATCTGGCAGCGGTAGCAGTGTTTGGGCTGTTTGGGGGGGGATGGTAATGGACAGGGCGGGCAATTTTTCTTGCACAAAGTTTCCATTAAATCAGATTCTCTGGAAACCAACTAAAACAAAAAGTAATACAGAAGATATAATAATTTATCATTAACAATGAATGTATCCAAAAACTCATTTTCTTGTCCATAGAATGATACAACAAAACATCTTTCCATCATTTAGTTTTCATCAATGTCACATAAATAATGTTACTTCTTTCATCCAGAAAATTCCAGAGAGGAAACTCTTAAACAAATCATATGTTCCCATTCTAGTTTGTTTTGATCACAAGAGACTGCTTTGCTACATTCAGATAATACTGTACATTATTTAAAAACAAAGAATGGTTGTTTGCTGAGCAGAAAAATTCAATAGGTGAGTCACCAACAAGCCATGTTTATACCAAAAATTGACTACTAATATGCTTCCACTTACCCCATATAATCCACATCACTAGGATAATTTATAACCCGAAGTTTTTGTTCTATCTTATGCAAGTTTCCTTTTAGGTCTCCTGTAGCCATGGTATAATTATTCTTTTAATTATAATACATGCTCACTGTTGCCTAGAAAGCAGAGTAATTCTGTTTTACAACCTTTATTTACTCATTCTTTCATCTATCATCTATCCTGTTCAACTAACTCTAAGTACAAGACATTGATAAAATCAACACAATTAAAATAACAATACAATACAGAATTCTGGAAAACACTGTTCCATGACATGTGGGACATTACAGAAAATAATTCTTTCTGATTCCCATTTCTTTCATTTTACAACTTTACTTCACAAACTTTCGCTTAAGGGTGAATCAAACCAGACAGGATAGTTCTATCTAGAGAAGGTAGTTCTGAAGTTAAGCCATGTAGGGGTTTAAAAATTAAAAGCATCACTTTTAATTGCACCCAGAAGTCTACTGAGAATCACTTCAGTGTCTCCAACACTGGCATTGTACAATTTTAGCTGTTCTCACTTCCAATATGAAGGCTATTTAATAGGGTATTAAATGGGCTTTGAGTTGTCTTCAAAGGCATCTTCTTGTAAAGTGAATACTCCCAGTAATTGACAAGGCAAGCCACTAATAAATAAACAGAGAGCAAACCCCACTCCCTTTTGACACTGATGATGTTACCTAGTTTGGTAATGAAATGTCTGCAAAGTTCAGAGAGCATTAAGGACCCCACAAAATGAAAGTGTTTTAACTAGGGCTTCCACTTGTGCATCTTTCACAATCATGACTCCAAGAGTATTCCAAGTCACAGATCTGGTTCTTCTTCTGCTTATTTTAAAAGGGGGGAAGCTTTGCATTCAGTCGTTGGTAGGAAAAAAAGACCAAAGCTGGATAACCAAATTCCAGATAGTTTGGTTCCCACAAAATTTCATGGAAGAGATCCCACACTAGGCAGAAAGAGGAAAGAAAGAGTGTGAGAAGTTAAGACCAGGGGTCTCCAACCTCTGGACTTCAACTCCCAGAATTCTCAGCCAGCAAAGCAAAGCTGGCTGAGGGAGTTGAAGTCCACCAGTCTTAAAGTTGCCAAGGTTGGAGACCCCTGGTTAAGACTATATCGGTTTCTTTCCATTTATTTGACTGGGGAAAGCAACCTACCGTTAACCACTTTTCATTCTCCCAACACTTGGTGTTCCCTGAATTCGATTGTTTTCTTGCAGACATTTCATTACCCAAACTAGGTAACATCGTCAGCGCTAATAGGGAAAAATCCTACTTCCTACTAACACTGACGATGTAACCTAGTTTGGGTAATGAAACGTCTAAAAGAAAACAGTCAAGCTTAGGATCCTCATTTCAACTCTTTATCGGTACTTACATTTCCACTTAGGATGCGAAGCTGGCGACCTTCTGAAGAACTGGCCAAGGAGGGCGCTTGAAAGGGGCCAGGCAGGGTAACTTCTCCCCGTTGGCGCTCAGTCCGGCCGCTTCGATCTAAAGAAGGCTTTGACCCGCTTTGCCCTGGCGCTGTGCTTTCACCTCCGCGCTGAGCGGCAGTTTAAGCGCTCCCGCGGGCAAACTCGTTTTTGTTTCAGGTCCACAGATTCCTGACTCCTTTATTACACCCCTTTTTTAAAAAAATGCTCGCCCCAGCAGAGGCTCCTCCAGGGGCGTCTCAAAAGGGGGAAAACAATGTCGCTTTCGTGGTTTTGCTTCAATTCCACCGATCGAAAGTGTCGAGGCGGATCTACAGACAACTTCCTCCGCGCATCAAGATACGGTGCGTCATTTCCGGTGAAAACAGATGCGGCGGCCGTTGCTCTAGTAGCCGCCAGGAGATCGAAAGTGAGTCTGCGGGAGCGAGCGTGCGTGGACGAGGTGACGGCTCATGTTTGTGCGCATGGAACCGGAAGCCCGCCGGGAAGCTGGTTTGTTCCAACGGCTGCCAGAAGCTGCGTGACGCCGCGCTCCCTCGCTTCGAAGGCTCGCACCCGACTGGAAGCCGAGTCGTCGCGGCGGCGGTTGGGACCTCAGTTCGTACAGGTAATGTGGGTCAATATCCAGGCGAGAAGTGGCCCTGGGGGCTTTTTTTGTAACCGCCGACCTCGGCTAGATGGTATTTGAGACCAATCCTCAACTAAAGGTGGCACTGTCTGTTCTTTTTTCTTCACTCCTGTAGGAAATGAAAGAGCATTTGGAAACAGGTGCAGGATGCTGTTAGTGTCTCAGCGCTAGTATGAGTGTGTCAGTACTCGGGCAGGGTACATTTCCTAATCGTGAGATGTTATTGGCTTTTAAAGTAGTTTCCACATTACAGTTTTCACCTGCGATGTATGTCGCTCAACTATGTGGACCATGGCAATTGCAGCTTGGAATGTAAGAGGCATAAAGGATGGGAAGTAAAATGGGTGAAGTGAAAGAAAAACAGATGCATGTTTGGAAAGAATGATTTAAAAGAAAAAAAATTATGAATCAGTGTATGAATATCTTCAAAGCAAGACTGGCTTGCAAGGATAGAAAGGAATGGCAATAGAGACAACGAAGTTGGTATAAGCAATGTTTAGTTAAATTTTCCTTTTATTTCATGCTGCTAATTTGCTTTGCTTTTTTATTTTAGTTATAATGCCATTTTATCAATTATTTCCAGACATTTTATTTTTAAAAAATTGCTTTTGGAGGCCATTTTTTAAAAGCAAAATGCTTCAAAACTATCTGAAGGGGCACTCTAGCACAGGGGTGTCAAACTCAAGGCCCGGGGGGCTGGATCCAGCCCGGGGGGGGAGCTGCTTAGATCTAAGTTGCAGAGCCACCCTGAAAACAGCGAAGGACCGGCCCACAGTGCCTTTGCCAGCAAAAACGGAGCTTGGGAGCGCCACACGTGGCCCTCACGAGTTTTGTTTTTGCTGGCAGAGGGTTGTCAGGACGTTGTTGCAGCCAAAAATGGAACTCGGGAGCCCGTTTTCACTGGCAGAGCGCTCAGGCCACCACAGGCACCCTCGACACAAGTGACATTGAGCTGGCCACGCCCTCCCAGGCCACAGCCACCCCAGCACCCTGCGGTCAAACACAACGCTGATGCAGCCTTCAATGAAAACGAGTTTGACACCCCTGCTCTAGCAGAAGTTTTTGAAAGAATTCTAAGAGTGCAAACAAAAGACAATATCCTTTTATTACAAATTGAATTTCTAGTTTTTTAATACTGTGTATCAAGATTATGGGACGTGGTGGCTCAGTGGCTAAGACGCTGAGCTTGTCGATCAAAAAGTCGGCAGTTCAGCTATTCGAATCCCTAGTGCCGTGTAACGGGGTGAGCTCCCGTTAATTGTCCCAGCTTCTGCCAACCTAGTAGTTCAAAAGCACGTAAAAAATGCAAGTAGAAAAATAAGGATCACCTTTGGTGGGGAAGGTAACAGCATTCCGTGCACCTTTGGCATTTAGTCATGCCGGTCACATGATCATGGAGACGTCTTCAGACAGCGCTGGCTCTTCAGCTTTGAAATGGAGATGAGCACCACCCCCTAGAGTCGGGAACGACAAGCACATATGTTTGAGGGGAACCTTTACCTTTTATCAAGATTACTTTGAGATTCATACACTTCTGTAATGATGTATTTTTGTGATTCCCATAAATAATTTCATCACCACAAATTTAAGACCACATAGTGATCTTTTTCTGGTGTTACTGATAATTCATAAAATTTGAACAGTTCTTCATTCTTGGAAAATTAAATACTGCAATTTAAAATGCGCACAATATAAAGATTTTTAAAATAACAACTCTGTATGAAAAATATATGAGAAAACTGATGAAAAATTTCTACCAGTATTGTTTTCTCATGGTACCTAGCTGACATAATACACACATAAAATATACTGCTCAAAAAAATAAAGGGAACACAAGCAGAAGACATCCGAGATCTGAATGAATGAAATAGCCTTATTAAATACTTTGTTTGTTACATACAGTAGTTTTGTGTTCCCTTTAGTTGTTTGAGCAGTGTAAAAACTACTGTATGTAAAGAACAAAGTATTTAATAAGGCTATTTCATTTATTCAGATCTCGGATGTCTTCTGCTTGTGTTCCCTTTATTTTTTTGAGCAGTGTATTTCTCATGGTTTTTGTGCACTGCATTTATTCTCTGAAATCGTGCATTTAAGAATAAGAGACATATGAACTTAAATAGTTAGAAAAATGTTTGGTTAAGGTATTGGACTGGGTTCATGAAGATCACTTGATGACTTTAGGCCAGACAGGACAGGGTTGTTTTTAGAAACAAGTATTGTGAATCTTTTGATGAGTCTGAATAACAGGCAGGATATAAATTTAATTATTAAATGAAATATAATTCCCTTCTTCTTTCCAATAGGAAGAACTTGCATGTTCTTTAATCATTTTTATGGCTTGATTTAAAAATAGTTTATGTACTCATACAGTTGCAAGAAAAAGTATGTGAACCCCTTGGGATTGTGTGGAGTTTTGCATGAATTCGTCATAAAATGTGCTCTGAACCTCATCTAAGTCATAACAATAGAAAAACACAGTCTGCTTAAAATAATACTACACAAGCATTAGATGTTGCCATGGTTTAATTGAACATAACATGTAAACATTCACAGTGCCGGGAGGAAAAAGTATGTGAACCTTTGGACTTAATAACTGGTTGACCCTCCTTTGGCAGCAATAACCTCAACCAAACGTTTCCTGTAGTTGCAGATCAGACCTGCACAACGATCTGGAGTAATTTTGGACCACTCCTCTTCACAAAACTGTTTCAGTGTAGCAATATTCTTGGGATGGCTGGTGTGAATCGCTCTCTTAAGGTCATGCCACAGCATTTCAATCAGGTTGAGGTCAGGACTCTGACTGGGCCACTCCAGAAGGCGTATTCTGTGCTGTTGAAGCCATTTTTTTGTTGAATTACTTGTATGCTTTGGGTCATTGTCCTGTTGCATCACCCATCCTCTGTGGAGCTTCAGTTGGCGGACAGATGGTCGTACGTTTTCCTGCAAAATGTCTTGATAAACTCTGGAATTCATTTTCCCATCAATGACAACAATCCGTCCAGGCCCTGAGGCAGCAAAGCAGCCCCAAACCATGATGTTCCCTTCGCCATGTTTTACAGTGGGGATGAGGTTTTGATGTTGGTGTGCTGTGCCTTTTTTTCTCCACACATAGTGTTGTGTGTTCTTCCCAAACAACTCAATTTTGGTTTCATCTGTCCACAGTATATTTTGCCAGTAGTGCTGTGGAACATCCAGGTGCTCTTTTGCAAACTTCAAATGTGCTGCAATATTTTTTTGGGATAGCAATGGCTTCCTCCATGGCGTCGTCCCATGTACTCCATTCTTGTTTAATGTTTTCCTTATTGTAGATGTGTCAACAAAAACGTTAGCATGTGCCAGAGATTTCTGTAGGTCTTTAGCTGACACTCTAGGATTCTTGTTTACCTCATGAAGCATTCTGCGCTGTTCTCTTGCAGTCATTTTTACAGGACGACCACGCCTAGGGAGAGTAGCAACAGTGCTAAACTTTCTCCATTTGTAGACAGTCTGTCTTACCGTGGACACATGAACATCAAGGCTTTTGGAGATACTTTTGTAACCCTTTCCAGCTTCATGCAAGTCAACAATTCTTGATCGTAGGTCTTCTGAGAGCTCTTTTCTGCGAGGCATGGTTCACATCAGACAGTGCTCCTTGAAACCAGTAAACCCAAAACAGGTGTGTGTTTTTAAAGGGCAGGACAGCTGTCAGCAACACATCCACTATCATCACACTGATTGGAGTCAAGATTGGCTCACTCCTGGCTCCAATTAGCTCTTGGAGAAGTCATTAGGCTAGGGGCTCACATACTTTTTCCTCCCTGCACTGTGAATGTTTACATGTTATGTTCAATTACACGATGGCAACATCTAATGTTTGTGTAGTATTATTTTAAGCAGACTGTGTTTTTCTATTGTTGTGACTTAGATGAAGTTCAGAGCACATTTTATGACCAATTCATGCAAAACTCCACGTAATCCCAAGGGGTTCCCATACTTTTTTTTCTTGCAACTGTATCTGTAGCTGCTTAGCTTATTATTTCTGGCAATTATCTGATCTCACTTCCATTATTATGGGTGTTCAGAGAAAGTTCAGTTTATGATTAGAACATATGTCATTGGGGCTTCAAGTCTTAAATATAACTGTTAGCAACACCCTCTCAAACCAATGAACTATTTTGCATATGATGATCTTGCAGATAGAATAAAAAAGACAAGGGTATTTTGTGTTGTACTTTCAAACCTGCATAATCTTATATGTACTTTTGGCATCTTCAACTGGAGGAAAGATAAACTATGTTCATTTCAATATTGCTTCCCTTTCAATGTAGACAGTAAACTAATGTACTGATGACTTTAATTTCAATAGTATAGTTCAGGACCAATTTTGCAAGGTGTGGCTGCCACTAGTACTCATGAATGTGTTTATACAAAGTAAAGCTGTATAGTAACTATGCGAGTATTAAATTAATATAAATTAATTTATTAAATTTATTAAAATAAAATGCTGTTGATGCTACTGTGGAATTTGTTTCTTTTTAGATATGTAATATAATCCAGCTACACTTTGCTTGTTAGTTAGCTGTTGAAGTCAGATTCCTCTTGCTGTTTCTCAATTATTTTGGTAATGACTGGACTGCTGATCTTCTGGTACTAGAAGTGCTTGTAAGTAAAGAATATCTTATAAATTATCCTGGATGCTGACATTCATAGTGTTTCAGCTTCGAATTTCCTTTTATCTCCTTTGAGTTGATTACTATCTGTGTAATGGTTACTTTAGCATACCAATTCAAGGTTAAACCTCTTTCTGAATTCAGAGATTGTTTGAAAGATGTTCCTTGCTTTTCCATGTCTGTTTTCATGTTCAATTTCTTCACAGATGTTTTTGTAATACTGTTTCTTGTCTCTTCTAATAGCCTTTAAACCAATTTGCTAAATTCTTTTCTCAGAGTTTTGCCTTTCTTGGTCTTGGCTTGTGTCCTCCTCTGTAGTTTGCTTTCTACTTCTCCTTCTTCTTCTTCTCCTCCTCCTTCTCCTCACCCCTTGCTCCTCCTCCTCCTCTTCATTCTTACTCTTCTTTTCTCTCTTTTCATTTTTGGCAATCTCTTTTCACATTTATCCTCCTTTAAATCCATTCCTTAATTCCATGTTTCTTCTGTCAATAAAGTTTAGGATTTCCGAGGGATTTCTGATGTTTTCTTTGAAACCAGTTGCTATATAGTATGTACAAAATGATATGAAACTGACTTGTTTTCTTTTTCTTCTTGAGCTTAACTTGAAGGTTGCTCACAAGCAGTTTGTGATTGGCTCCACAGTCAGCACCTGGCTATGTTTTTGATACTATAATTGAACTCCTCTACCTCCTTTAGCAAAAATATAGTCAGTTTGATTTTTGTATGCCCCATCTATAAGCAATATAGAGATACCACTTCAGTTGTTTGACCATATTAGAAAAATGAGTCAGAAGAATAGATGAAAGTATGATGAAATGGACTAAAAATTTTGCCTATAATATAATATACTGAGGGACCAATGGGAAAATGTGGAAAAGGATTTAAATTTTTATTATGTTCTAGCTGTCAACATTCTTACTGATGAACTCAACGAAAGGAAGCACGGCTAAGACGGTCCAATCTCTCTATGCAAAACTTTATTGAGTACATCATATCGGCAAAGATGAGGGCAAAACCAAATTAACCATTTCCTGCGCAAACCCATATGATTAAAGTTTAGGTCTTTCGTCCCCTCCTATTAGACTAGGCCACATTGTCCAATGGAGACTTCTGGTATTGTTGTGAGAAAGTTTTTTGACTCTGGTAACACCTGCCGAAATGACCTCCATTCTCACGGCTGGCATCTTGATGTCTGGAGCTTGATGTCTGCCACGGCTGGCATCTTGATGTCTGGAGCTTAAGTTCTATCTCTGCCTTCCCTCCATTGGCAAGCTGAAAAGTGATAATAGTTGCAATAGCAAAAGTGCCTTGTGAAGCTTGACACTACCACTATAATTGGTATTTGTATCCAGAGAAATTGTCTAGAATGCATAAAGTACTTAGAATCTTTGCTGGAAATGTGAACAACATGCGAACAACTTTTTTATGATTTTGATGGATAAGGGGAAAAAAGCCAAAACATTTTGAATACAAATACATGCATTAATGCATAAGATTTTAAAGGTAAAAGTACAACTCAAACTACATACTTTTCTTTTGGGATTAATGGACAAGCAACTAGAAAATAAGTCATGGAACTTTATTTTCTATATAATGACTGCAATAAGACTATTAAGAGCCACAGTGGCGCAGTGGTTAGAGTGCAGTACTGCAGGCTACTGCTGATCACTGACTGCCAGCAGTTTGACAGATCGAATCTCACCAGGCTCAAGGCTGACTCAGCCTTCCATTCTTCTTAGGTCGGTAAAATGAGGACCTAGATTGTTGGGGGCAAGATGTTGACTCTGTAAACGGCTTAGAAAGGGCTGTAAAACACTATGAAGCGGTCTATAAGTCTAAGTGCTCTTGCTATTATATATTCCACAGTGAAATTGTTCGACATTATCCATAGGACTTTAGTTATATCCTCTGATTAGAGAAAAACAATATTTTTATGGTTGAGTGGATACTCAACAAACTTTTTGGATAAAACAGAAAAAATGCACTTATGATTTTTGGTGTTGATGAATAGAAAAAACTGGAGAAAGTGAGATGTTTTTGTACTCAGAATTTTAACAGTAACAGAATTTTGTAATTGTATTTATATTTGCTACAAAAGAAATTAGAAATTTATTTCTACTTTTTTGTTCTTTCTGCGCTTTTTCTTTTTTCTTTACGGCTCTTTTTTGTTCGTTTGCATTAGTTTTTATGTGGTTTGTAAAACTTTTAATAAAATTATTTTTTTTAAAAAAAATCAATTATTGGAGTGCAGAAATTTATAAGTCAGTTTCCTGATCCATTTCAATTTCCTAAGCAATACAGTGCAACTATATTTTAGTCTTTCATGTTTCCAACTTCAACATTTCAGTCTTCAATCACAAGCAGCACTTGCTTGCATGTTCTGTCATTTTCAAATTGGACTAAAACTCGTCAACCTCCTCTTCTTCTGCATCAGTGTTTCCAACATAATCTTTAATGTCTAATCAGTATTATTTGGTTATTGACTATATTGTAGCCAAGTATTGTTCTTGCTATGCCATTATAAATGCAACACTTTTTTTTGTTTTTCATGTCCTGAGTAATAAACAGTATGATATTCTGAATGAAAATGTCCCATCCCAGGCCATCTCAATTCACTGACTGCTATGATAGTAATTTGTAGTCATTTCATTTCATCTTTCATTGTACTGAGCTTTTGTGTGTACATGCTTCTTATGTTCTATGTTCCTTTTGGAATTCTATTTTTGCAGCTTTGGATTTTCCTGATGGCAACATCAGCTATTAGACATCCCAAAGGCTTAAATCTGGCCATGTCATAAACACCGTTAGTACTCAGCTTTTCAGTAGTAAATTGAATGCCATCTGACCTGAAGGACGATCATCTGGCACTATATCATCAATCATTTTGAATTTTTAATCATATGGTTTTCTTTGTAAAAACATAAAGAGTTGTTTAACATTGCATTCTTTCATGCAATATGAATTGATGTCTTTATGATGAAAGTGGTCATCTGCCTCTGACATCTTCCTATATCTCAGCTGCCCACCCTGTATAGGGGTCTGTTTGCTTTAGCTGGGATCTGAGATGACCTTCACACTCTGGATATCCCTGCTAGGAATATATAGTCTTGGCATATACTCTTAAACTATTATATATCCCGTAATATAATATTTTTATAATAAGGAACTGCATATGACTTTTTCTTTTTAAAAAATTAAAAGAAAAAATGACATGAAATTGATAATATTTTACATTTAATATGTTAATGTATTTATTAATGAAATCCAAGTGGCTGCCCACCTTACAGAAAGTGACTATATAGATGCAGATTTATAGATATATAATTGTTTCTGAAATAAGGTTTATAAAGTTATGTCAGGACTAAACAAGATGTATTGAAGGAAAAGGTAAGTAAAATAACTAGAGTAATTTCATTTGTTTGGCCCAATACAAAGACTTTAATAGAAAAATAAAAAAGCAGCAAAAAAAGCAATAACATAATTTTATCAAAGATAAAATTCAAGATCAGTGTTCACAACTTTCATCAGGGATGAAGGTTCATTGGAATAAAACTACTTTTAAGAAATTTGAAACATTAGACATGAGATCCACCTGTACTTCTTGGAGGGATACTTTTCTACACTATAAGGGCTATATATGGCTCATACCCTATTTACCTGCCACTTTTAGCCGGTAAATAGGTCTTCAGTAGATGTTCAAACAAAAAATAATCTGTCAAGGTTTTGCCTGATATATTTATTTATTGATTGATTGATTGATTGATTGATTGATTGATTGATTGCGATTTATATGCCACCTTTCTCCCTAGGGACTCAAGGCGGCTTACAAAATGACAACTTCAATACAAATCACAATACAATACCAAATTAAAATTAGTAACCAATACCAAATTAAAATCAGTAACCCAATTAAAAAACGATTTAAAATTATACCAGTGTACCCCAAAATGGATCAGTTTAATTGGCGGAAGAGCCACGTCTTCAGCTCGCGACGGAAGGAAAGAAGGTCGGGGGCTGTCCTGAGCTCAGTGGGCAATCCATTCCAGAGGGTCGGGGCCCCTAGTGCTATGCTATGTAGGTCTTTAACAGTAACGACCAGTATGTTGAATTGGGCTCAGAAACCTACAGGTAGCCAATATAATGATTTTAACATAGCTGTAATTCTGTCCAGGTGAGATTATTCTTCCAAAAGTCTTGCTACTCTTGATTTCTAAATAGTTTAAAATAAAAGCCCCACATAGAGCTAATCCATTTCGGTGGAAACTAGGGCATAGGTTACAGACATCAGGGCATTCATGGGTCATGAACTGACATGTTGGTTAAAGCTGGGCAAAAACAACAATGAGAGCCGATCCACAAATCATAGATGCCCACCTTTGTACTGTTTAACTACTGGGACTGCTATTATTGAAGTCCCCAAATATTTGCTAATGATTAACAATTCCATCTTGATAGAAATTTATCTGATTTTGTTTTGCCTCATCCAGATTCCCATAGTTTCATGGGATCGTTTCACTCAGAAGCTCATATTCTTTATGAACCTTTAACCTAACGATTTCTCTGAATTTTTTAATAGCTATATCTGTACTGGAGAGAAACCTGGCAACATTTCCTCCTAGTTCATGGATAGAAGAATTGATTTATTAAGGAAATTGATGGAATCCAAAATGCACTTCTAGTGGATTTTGATGATAGCTTATGAATCACTTCAAGTTGTTTAGGAAACTCATGTTTTTAAACACTAGTTTACATTTAATTAATACTATGAAATATTTTGTTTTTCTTTATCTTTAATGATATTTGCAGTTGACAATAGCTATAGACAATATATTAAATTTTTTAACCTCATATTTCTCTAGCTTTATAATACTTTGCATAGAATCCTGTCTATTAATATATGTTTAATAAAATTAAGTATAATTAAATGTATATCTGCAAACTATTTTACAGTTATAATTAAGAAATCCTGTTCTTTTTAATGAAGTAATTTGTATGTTTCTTTCCCTTTTGTTTACAACCTACAGGCTTGCAGATGGGTCAAGGGTTGTGGAGAGTGGCAAGGAACCAGCAGTTACAACAACAGGAATACGGAGGACAAAGCTGTCTTTCCAGGGAGAATGGTAGAAGGATGACTGTTAATAATGTTTCAAATAATAATCACCGGAAACATGCCCAAGGAGGAATTGACATTTACCACCTGTTGAAAACTCGCAAGTCAAAAGAACAAGAAGGATTCATCAACCTAGAAATGTTACCTCCTGAACTTAGTTTTACCATTTTGTCATACCTGAATGCAACGGACCTCTGTCTGGCTTCATGCGTATGGCAGGATCTTGCTAATGATGAGCTGCTGTGGCAGGGGTAAGGTAACAAAGAAAAGGCAATTAAAATCAAAATTTCTTGTGTGTGCTTTTTTAAAAAAAAAATACCAGATGAAAAATTACTATATATAGTCATGTGAAAAAGAAAGGATACCTTCTTTGAGTTCTATCGTGTAATGATGACTGATATGTCTTGTGTTGCTGTTTATCTAAGGTAGTATTTACCTACACTTAAGAACTGCAAAGGACCAGGTCTTGATATATAAAACCATAGAACTCAAAGAGGCTGTACTTTTTCACATGATTGTAGTTCATTAATTATGCCAATATTTTGGCTTTGAAAATGTCAAAATGTAATGAAAAAGACTAAAAATTATGGGATTCAGTAACTATTAATAAAATTTGAATCATAAAGCAAATTGTCTTATAATTTAGGGGCTTTCCAAATACAATTTCTTGCAGATCTTTTCCAGTATTAGAAAGTTTTGTTTCCACTACTAAAAGTTTCATTTCAAATAATGTATGTAGTAGTTTGCGAATGACAAAAAGATGTTTGTTCAAGACCTTAATACTTTCATCAGTATCCAATTGTGGTTTCTTTCAAAACAGTTCAGTATAATAGTAACAAGTATCATTCAATTACTCAACAAAACAAGGAATAATCTTACTGACTTTTAAGTAGTAAAAATATTGTGTAAATCAGCATTTCAGGGGGAAAAATGAAGAAAAATCTAATTCTAGTTAGAATGATACTGATTGATTATATAAATCAGTGACTGTGAAATTTTTGTTTTTGTTTGATATTATTAGGAAGAAACAGTAATTTCTCTAAATTCTTATTTTTCAATTTGACAGTAAATTAGGTTTCTTTGCATCGCTCAGTGTAAGATGTTTTAAAAAGCACTTTTTAAATCTATATACCATGATGTAGGAACTACTTGTACTTTCGTTCTATTGAATATATAGTACAGGTATATAATGTACTTTGCATTTATTTATTTTATCCCACTTTTATTATTTTTATAAATAACTTCAGGTGGAAAACATACTAATAATCCTTCTTCACAACAACAACAACCCTGTCAAGGTGGGTTGAGCTGAAAAAGAGCAGCCAAAAGTCATCCAGCCAGCTTCTATGCCTAAGGCAAGACTAGAGCTTACATTCTCCTGGTTTCTAGGCAAACACCTTAGTTTAATGAAACATTAAATTTAGTTTCCCCTAATCAGAATTTGCTGAAAATGAAACATGTTATAATAATTTTAAAAAAATATAAAAATAACAAACTTTGGACAATTTATCAGCCTGTAAAAACCCATGTTTGAATAAAAAGCACAGATCCAGATAAAAATATGTATCTTGTAAAGTCCCTTTTAAGTTCAGTTGGGTTAGTGCCAATAACTGGTAGTTATTAAAAACAGTAAATATATAGAATTCAATGCCTAATATAATAAATAAATCAAAATCATTTATAGTCACTAACGTATTCCTGCACATATCCACTATATGTAATACAATAATTTATTGACTTCATTGATTGTTATTACTAGGTAAATGTATGTTACGCTTGTACCCTAAAACATTATATTCCATATCTTTGTACTAATTTAGCTATAGAGTAAATGGTTCTTTTATTTGTAACCCTGTATTTCCATCCCATGCAACACTTACTCAGAAAGACACACTGGATCACATTCTTTCTCTGTGCAATGATTGATTTCCTGAAATAAAAGCTGCTTTCTAATGCCTGGTAGGTTTATTATTTTTGCAAGTCAGATAGGGTGAACTGATCTTTAGATTTATTTACTTAGTTAATCTGAAATATTAATGTAATTGTTATATAAATACAAGCACTAGATAGCACCATTCATTTGACTTTATCCAGTTTATCTGGATAATGCTTATCTTGAATGCTTATCTTCATATTTAAACTTCTGTATGTGAATTTAGGGTTATTGCATATTTGTGAGGCTTTTTTTAGCCAATGCAGCATTTTTTGCTGTCTAAAGTTTAGTACAATTTTGGAGGATTACAACAGCATTGTGCTAATCTGAATTTCAACTTTTATTGTTCTGATTAGGGAAACTCCTTCTCTAAAGAAGTAAGACAGGAATAATAAAATCCTCTTAATTTTTTAAATCTTTTTTATGTTTTATATCTTCTGAGAAATGTCTAAACTGCTTTGTTTCATTTTTAGAAAAGCAGCAAAATGTGATAGCTATATTGCTACAGTATTTATGAGGTGGGGATATGGGAGATATATAATAGTAATTACATATTGCTAGTATATTATGTGATAGTCACATTTCATTTTAAAAATGTATATAACTTACCTTTTCTGACAATGGCACTAATAAAATTAAAACAGTGAAACAACATAAAAGAACAGGTGATGGTGGTGATACATAAATGTATCCGTACTACAGAAGCATTATATGAGGGAGGGTTTCCCGTAACATTTATATTACAGGTTTTCCTTCAGTAGCACCTTATCCCCATTACTTTTTGATATCTGTATGAAGCTTATGTATAGGAGGGCCAAGTACAGTATTATAAGGAAATCTGATTGAAGTGTTCCATATCTGTATTTCTGTTGCATCAGAATCAGATGAGGCTATTTGTGCCTCAGTGATTTACATTCTATCTGCATGTTCTGATAAACTAAATGAGAATAAATTAATTAAAATTGAAAGTAGATAGGTTTCAAGTTTAGATAATTGCTACTTTTTTGTGTGGTGGTTGACCCTCTAATGCATTCTCTTAATAGTACTTAATAAGCCTAACTAAGAATGTGTCTCCACCCACAACTGTTGACATTGGCTTTCTCTGAGAGGCACAAGAAAGGATAGTATCTTGCCCAGTTTGTACAAAGTATCCAGAAAATCTCTTCTCGAAAACATGCAAAAATTGAGTGCTTGGTAATTAGGGTGAAACATGATCCTGAATGATAAGCATGGGTTACCTGAGATTTATTTGTTCCATGCCTTTAGACTGGTAGGAAGGAGGTCAATAAGGAAATACCTCATATGGATTCTATTTTTAGAATCACATACTCTTGATTATTAAGATATTAATATTATTAAGTAAAACCTTTGGAAGGAAGCATAGTCTTAGTTCTCTGTGGAATCAATGTTGGACTTAGGGGAGGCTGATTTCACAAAACAGAAAAGTACAGTGGTACCTCAGTATTCATCTTAATTGGTTCCTGGAGGTGCAATGAGTACCAAAAACAATGGGCACCAAACTAATTTTTCCCAAAAGGAATGATGTTGTGAGTCACAAGGCAGCCGACACAGACAAGTTCTAGCTTGTGTGTCAAATACTAAACAAACAAGTACCTGGACAAAGTTTTCACATCAAAATGCTTTGAACACCAAATTCAATGAGTTTCAAAACAGTTGAGTACCAAGATACCACTGTCTCCCCCCTCCCCCCTTTCCAGATACAAGTGCCAAAATTTGCACTGACTAGAGCTCTAAATATTATACTAACTATGAAGAAGCTTGTGGTTTTATTTCTGCTTCTGTTCCCACTTTGTGCTGTGTGGTCAAGCTTTACAACAGGGTTCTGCATTAAATCACAACTCTGTGGGCACTTAACCCCATATAAGCTCTTTGCCTGACTTGGCAGAAGACTCTTAGACACAACTCAGATACTTTATAAAACTTATGGCAGAAGCCTGAAGATAACTGGTTGATTTTTCCATTGCCCCAGCTTTGTTTCTGTATATCTGTCCATCCATCCCACACAGTTTAAACTCTAGTCCTTTTCTTTGTAATTTAAAGAATACTTGAAGACCCCGACAATAAAAAGAAATACTTTATGGAATATGTTAGTAATGAAATGAATTTGGCATATATAATGAAACTTACAACTTCCTTATTCATTCAGGCATTTTATTTTGCAATGCATTTCTTAATTCTTGCATATTGAGCTGTTGGTTGTTTTTTTTTTCTATAATTATAAATCTGAAATCTGAAAAAGATACTTGAAATAAAACATAGTTTTATACTTGTACAAATATAAGGTGTTGAAAAACTTGGTTTGTGTAAATCTTAATATTTGTGTGCAGTAGCATTCCTGTCTTTCTGTGTCATATAATCTGCTGTAGAGACTTCCTTTTTTGGCTCATGGCGGAGTCATTATATATAATCCCATTGCTTGCCAGGGAAAAGAACTCGAACACGTTCCTCAGATTACTACCTTAGAAAAGTACTATTAAAATCTATTGGTTACATTGTTTGAGAATTTTGCATACTTCATTTTACAGTGTTTTGTAAGACAATTACTTGATAGTAATATTCAGGAAACGGATTGAATCCTAAAATCTTACATTACATTTTTATAGCTAACAGACTTTTTTTTACATTGTAGACTGTGTAAATCCACTTGGGGTCACTGTTCCATATACAATAAGAATCCACCTCTTGGATTTTCTTTTAGAAAACTGTATATGCAACTAGATGAAGGCAGCCTCACTTTTAATGCCAATCCTGAAGAGGTAAGTAGAATTCATATATCATTAATAGTATTAGCTGTGGTTATGATGCTGTTATATATTTTTCAACTGTTTTACAAACCCGAAATTATCCCAGAAGCAATAACCTAAGGAAAATACGTCTCTTGAAAAACAAAAATGGCGTATAACTTTTTAAATACATTTTGTTAACATCCAAACAAATACTTATAACTGAAATTTAGTTGGTTTATACCATGTGTGCATAATGTATATATCTATATATTTTTCTGGCATAAATAAGTAACAGAATTTAAAACAGAATAGTTAGTTTATGCTTATGCTGAAAAAAGCATAGCTCCATATCTCTGTTAATAGTAATAAAGAGCAACATTGATGCTTATATCTTTGAAATATAGGAGAAATATAAATAAAATATTTACATAAATATAAATATATCCAAAAGATATGTGTGTGTGTGTGTGTGTGTGTGTGTGTGTGTGTGTGTATTAAAATATCCCATGTTTTTTGTTTGTTATATTGACTAATTTTTTAATCTTATATCATACATTTCTCATGTAATTCTCTCCCTCCCTTCCTCCCCCTCTCTCTCCCCCTCCCTCTCTCCCTCCCCATGTGTGTGTGTGTGTGTGTATTCTAGAATTCGTTTAAGAAATTGTGAAATCTAAAATGTTAATTTACTAAACTGAATGTTTCTTGATCAATATGGAAGATTACCTCTTTCCCTAGGGACAGATTGTCATCTTTATGTTTGTGCCAGTTGAGACCTTGAATTAATTAAAGTTATATTGAAAGACCTGCAGTGCATAAAATGCAAAGTCTGAGAATTTCTTGGTGGTTATGTTGCTAGAAAAAGAAAAAGAACACCTAAAAATCAAAAGGAAGTGAAACAAAACCTCAAAATAATGCTTGAAGAGTTTAATTTATATTATATGACATAAAGAATAAATATGGTTGAATTATACACACACACACACAAACACGAGTCATATAATTTCCATATGGAACATAGCCAATAGGTTGTAAATCATTTGAAATGTGAATCCCTTACTCTAGCTCAGGGACAGGAGTCATACAGAACAATCTTAATCTCTTAAATGATTACTTGGATAATACAGTACTCTTATCAACATCACACAGTTATAATTATCTTGAATGTTAGAGGGAAAAGAAGCTTTGTTGTAACAGTACCAGTTACTCTTGAATTGAAGATTTATTCCAGTATATGAATATAAGATCTCTCTTTTAAGGCTCAACAGATTGTAGAGATTATAAAATGCATATGGTACATATAAAAACATACAATAAAGTAATGCAACAGTTACAAAAATTGAAAACAACAATAGAAAAATATAAGCATTTATTTGTATGGTATTTATATTTCAAAAATATTTTTAAAAAATCTAATTTTTATCAGAAAAATTACATAGCCATGCCTTTTTAATGGAAGTATGAAGTTCATGAAAATTTAAAGAGTTTTTTTTTTTGTTAATTGAAATAAATTAACAAAAAAAAATGAATGTTTATAGAAAGTAAATATTTCTGTAATAAGGAAATGATAAAAGAACTAGACAAATAACATTGTATGACATGTTCTAATGTGTGATTTCTGTGCCCATAGGTTTTACATTGGGAATAGGTTTTGTAGTTTCAAGATATGTACATGTAATAACAGAATTTGAACATATGCATGCAAAATCACCCATTTATTAGAGAATGACTTTACACAACAAAACATTAAAATGGCTATCTTAAATTACATTGAAAAGATAAATATTCTGGTAATTTCTTTTCCAGAAGGCCAAATTAGGAAATTATATATGGAACCATAGGCATCATAAATACATCATAAAAAGTTGTGTCACAATTTAAAAGACTAGAATTATTTGTGGAAAGAGTCTTTTCCCCTGCTGCTTTAATATATATATAAATCTTAACTATAACTATACTAACACATGTTTTATTTACATGTGAATTATATTCAACATGTTGAAATGTACCTCATAAGATAGAATTACTCTGTAATTGTTAAGATGTGTTCCATATGAAATACTCTGGGTGTTTAAAAATCTAATGTGCCATATAAAATGTCTCTTTCTCCCAGGGAGTTAACTACTTTATGTCCAAGGGAATATTGGATGATTCACCAAAGGAAATAGCTAAATTTATCTTCTGTACAAGAACTTTAAATTGGAAGAAACTGAGAATATATCTTGATGAAAGGTAACTTCATTATAAAATGACAAACATCACATTCTCTTGTATTTATGGGGATTTCTTATTAAAACATTATGAAATAATGGGATACAGTTACTTATTTCTGTATTACTTCATCAGCACCTTTTCTAGCATTCATTAATCAAGAATTATCATACTCTCTGCATTGTGGATAAAATCTATAGTCTGTTGAATCCCCAAAAGGAAGTGAAATGGGAGACATCTGATTTTAGAATTAGACAAGGACTATAGTACTTGAACTATAGTTGTTCATATGCTCATATTGTTGTATTAAATTGATGACTGGTTACCGTACATACAATTTGTCTAGTTGAATAATTTCTTTCATATATAACAATGTAAGCAAATATTTTGAGAAGCAAAGCCAGAGAAGACTGAATATTTTACAATGTATCTAAAATATGTGTACATTAGCAGCTTAAAGTATTTTTCTCTTTTAAATTAGGCGAGATGTTTTAGATGATCTTGTAACACTACACAACTTCAGAAATCAGTTCTTGCCAAATGCACTGAGAGAATTTTTCAAACACATTCATGCCCCTGAGGAACGTGGTGAATATCTTGAAACTCTCATTACAAAGTTTTCACACCGATTTTGTGCTTGTAACCCTGACCTGATGAGAGAGCTTGGCCTTAGCCCAGGTAAGGAGGAGGAGCATGTATCTATTTTAACTGATGGGTTGACATATCATGTGGTATTGTAAAATTTAAAAGCTAACAAGTTTAGCATATGTGATATTCATCTTTAAATCTGATCTTGTTTAATAGCACTGAATTGAGCAAAAGCCTTAGGCATCTACATTGTACATTCTTGTTATAAAGCTTGAAAGAATTATTAATTGACTTATGTGTCTTATAGATACTTATTAAAAACCAGAGAAAATTGATTCAAAAAAGGGAAGATAGATAGATAGACAGACAGACAGTATTTTAATATAATATACACATGACTTTCCCAAGGAAATATGGCTAAAATTTATATACAGTTTAACCTTATCTTGTAATGCAGTTATTTTGCTCTTATACAGTATTCTTTTTTTTTTTATTTTACAAATAAAGAACATGGATTCCTGGAGTCTTGTCCTAAAGAATTTAAATCCTTTTAATCTAAAATGTTGTGCAGGTTTCTTAAATTGTAAGCAGGCTTCACAAAATATTTTCTCATTTTTTTTACGCTTAGATGCTGTTTATGTATTATGTTACTCTTTGATCCTGCTTTCCATTGATCTTACTAGCCCTCATGTGAAGAATAAAATGTCAAAGAGAGAATTTATCCGAAACACGCGTCGTGCTGCTCAGAACATTAGTGAAGATTTTGTTGGGCACCTATATGACAATATCTACCTTATAGGCCACGTGGCTGCCTAAAAAGCCCAGTTTGTTAAGACTTACCATCTGTTGTTAGAAGAAGTCAGCAAATGAAGGAATTTTATCTGTTGTAGATACTGTATGGGGTTAAATTAGTGCTGGTTATTCTAACCTCTTTCTGCAATCAAGCAACTTTTTTAGCAATTTACTATGGAAGCTGAAGAATTTTTTGCAATTTTTTTTAAACTTTGCTTACAGTTTGCACAGAACTTTGCAATTAGTCTGACATATTACCATTTCTGAATGTTAAACTGACATTATAGTTTTAAACTGACAAGTTGGTGGACTTGTGCAGTTGATTTGCTTGAACACTTTAACCAGTTCATTTTTTTAAAAAAAAAATGTGATATGTACATACTGTATTTGACTAAAGAGATTTATAACCATAATTATTTTATTGTAAAATATTTTAAATAAAGTTTTTTCCCTTTTTTTTTCTTCCTACTAGAAGATATATTGGATAATTTATTTCTTCACATAGTGAGACTGTGCATGTTCTTTAAAAGTTTACTTCACAGATGCATAACCAGTTATAAACTATATAATATTCTATGGGTTTGGACGCCTATGGTTCTTTGATATTGTTGAACTATGATTCCCACAGTCTTCACCATTGGTCGAGTGGGGCTGTCAGGCATTATAGTACAGCAGCAGTTAGAGAGTTACAGGTTCCCCACCCCGATTCATAACCACCAAACTGGAAGACAGGGTATCAGTCTATCCTTGTGCCTCAATATCTAGTGCCTAAAAATATTTAAAAATCAAGGTTGGATGCTTTTATTATTGTTGCTGTCTAGGTATGCTTTCTAACAATCAAGGTTTTGCAAGAAGATTTATTTACTTGCATTAGTCATACTCATTTTGTCATATCTAGATCAGAAAACATTCTTTGTGAATTAGATTAAGAGACTGGGATCCAAAGGATCTATCTGCACAACCTCTTCCCACCTCTTTCAGCCCTTTCTTCCTGCTCCCATGATATCCCCAATGTGCACTGTAGGTATAGTTTTCCTTCCCCCCCCCCCCCTAGAATTTTCTCCTGCCAATCCTGTAATTTTTTGTCTAATAGGCAGTGAAACTTGGCTATGCTCTAATTCAGCACTTGCAATACAAGAAGTGACCTGAGCAGACATGGCCAAAGCTGAGCCTTTTGAATGAATAGTGGGAGAAATGTAGCACTGAACCCAACATTGTTCTCACTATCAGGTATATTTGGGTCTGTTTCTATATACCCACAGGAGTGGTAATTTATAAGACCATGGAATGCCTTCTGATATTTTTTTCTATATAAATGAAATAAATATTGTCCTTGTTTAAATTTGCTGAATTGGTATATGATTGGATTAAGGCACCTTTTATTTGAGGGAGGGAGTATCATTTAAAAGCTGGTAGGAGTAAAGTAATTGTGGACTGTAGAATTTCTGCATTGGCTTCAACTACCTGTCAAAAAAATCTTGCAATCCAGATGCAAAAAGATATATAATATAGCCATTGTCCAAAGTCAAACAAAGTAAAGCTAGTGATAGAATCCGGTGTTGGGCACCAGGATTTTTCTGTCTCTTCTGCACCTCCTCTCATAATATCAGGGGACCAAGTAAAATTTTGTATAACCGTGAATCAAAGTTGAAGTGCACAATTGGATTCCAGCCATAGTTCCTAAGTCCAAATCTACTATATATATTTTTCCAAGCAAGTTGGATTTAATTATCAATAACAGTTTTGAAGGAGGTTGACTAGGACATTTTCCAAAGTTTAAGAAATACTTAAGAAAATCTGATAACTGTAATATTTTGACTTGAAAGTGGTTAAGAACTTGTGCTCTAAATGATGGATTTGAAATGCTATGTAATAATAACAATGTTAACAGTGCTTGATAATGTTACTTAATTATCACAATTATTTTTCCAATTACTAGAATGTCTATATTTTGTTTCCCATTTTGAATTCTGTTTATTTGTTGACTGTTAACTTGACAAATCTGAAATTGGTATTACTCTTCAGCTGACATAATTATACTTTAAAAAAAATCAAAATTGCACTGCAAATATTGGTTGGGGGATTGGGGGTTTCTTTGGTTAACTTTCTTGTGAAATGCAAATGAAGGTTAAAATGCAGATTAGTGAATTATAATCCCCCATTTCTTATATATTATTGTTACTTTAAATAAATATTTCACTCAATAAAATTTAGAGTCAGTTATCATTTTTTTGTTTTTATATTGTCTTTTTAAATTGTTTTTTAAAAACCTGTTCTGAACCGTTATTAATATGCATAGTAACTTGCTTTAGTCTCATATTATTGGTTTCATATTTAATTAAAATAATGAGGTGCTTGTTCTAAAATATTTATACATATTTGTGTTCTTGTATTTAAAGGATTTAATAAAATACAGTGTTCCTCCTGCCCAAACTTCTCCCAACTTCTGAAATACGTTTGGGGCTATATTTCTGGGAGACAGCATTATTCTTTCTAAATATCATTAAGAAAGGCTGTAGCATTAGTACTTGTAAATAATCAACTACCACCAATTATAACCCTAATTTTATAAATATGTACTTAAAAGTTAGTTTTTCCTAACCTTTCCTTCTAGGTAAATATGCATAAAATTTCTTCTTAAATGGATAGTTTTCAATATGAAAATAAAGAGATTATTTTTCAAATTTGCAAGGCAAACAGTACCTATGTTATGCATGTGACATAAAGCAAAGTCTCAACTGCTTGATTTTTTTTTTCTGAAGCTGTAGAGCATGGATTGGTCATTCTGTAGAGTTGAGTGAACCAGATTCTCAACACATGATTGTGAAATTTGCCTGTATCCTTGTACAATTTATAATGAACCATTATATTTAAGTGGACATTATGACAACTGGAAAGAGCCACATTCATTTGAGCCCACTTATCCATCAGCTTTGTAGATGTAGATGTGGCCCAGGTGAGAGCAGGGTGGCTGGGCAGTAGAAATAGGGTGCAGTGTGATTTGGTGGTGGATGAAAGGACCTTGCATCACCATACCTGATTGGGCGCATGACAAAGAAGTTCAGGTGCAACTTCAGAACAGAAGTGTGGGAGCGGCTATTGTCATCTAGGAATCTTGGTGTCTTTTGAGGCTCTGCTCCAATATGACAATATGCTCCAATGTGAAGTTGGACTGCAGGATCAGCTCGATCTGCTGCTTACCTACCTTCCTCCGTGAAGTGTAGTAGCATTCCTACACAAGTTACTGAACTCTGTAGCAACTTAGCAGTGGAGTTCCACAGATTTAAGGTTCTTCAATCTGCCTTTGGACTCAAAATCAGTGGTGGCTTGGGTGCCCATGGTCACTATGGCAACGATGGCCTGGTCCAAGTGCCCCACTCATAATAGAAGTTGCACATTAGATCTAATTTTTGTTTTGGATTGGTGGTATTGTGATTCGGATTGGAGGAAGTTAACAGTTCCTTCCCATGGACAGAACATGCTTTCTTAGCTGCTCTCCATGATTTCTTTCAACTATGGGGAGGTGGAGCCTGTTCCTTCACCCCATATCATGTAACTTATGGACCCAAATGGATTTCAAATGGAACTCTTTTTTTCTGAAGCTGTGGCACATGGTTCAGCCAACGCCTTGGAATGAACATACTGCAAGGTCCTGGATATGGTTATGTCTGTGAATGTTCTGTCATTGTGGATTCCTTAGTGCAGGGCTATCAAACTCGTGGCCCCGCGGGCTGGATGCATCATGTGCTGGCCATGCCCACGCCTGGTTTAGTGAAGGGGAAAAAGTCCCAATACATAACATGACGATGCGAGTTTGACACCCCTGCCTTAGAACATTGGCTTAATTCTCTATTCTTACTGCAACTGGCAATCCTGATTGAGTGATTAAAACTCCACTAGATCTGAGTAGCATACAAAAGTAAGGAAAATATAGAAACAGGAGGTAAGTTTTATCAAATAAACTTTCTTGTCATTTTTATCTTAAAAATACTGTCAGTCTTGGAAAGAGCAACTTTCCCTTGGCCCGTATTATATTCAAAATTCATGAAATAAGAATACATATAATAAGTTCTTACAACTATGAAATTCTTTCCCACTGGGTATCAGAATAATTTAAATTTGAAGATTTGCAGCAGAATTATAATCTTGCTCAATTAGCTCAGATTAAGCAAACGTGATTAATATAAAGACAGTGTAGTTAATATTTTCCTGTTATTTTTAGTTTGATTTTTTTCCCCTTCCTGAACACTTTGGGTAGAATATATTAAGGACACAAAATAATTAAATAAAATTTGAAAGAGAATTCTAACTGGTGCAGCTAGAAATAACTATTTCCTCTCTATATGTGCTTTTCAGATCTGTTTATTTGGAAAGCCACAAGACTCACGTTGAATCTTTTTGCAAAAGAATTTTCATTTATAAAAGTTAATCTCCCTTTGGCCTACTGAGTGAAGAATGTTGGGTTAATTTAAAATGATTAATGAGATTTTTGTCAGACTCCTGCCCTCTACTGCCACTGCAGTATGTCAGCCCAATAACCTGGGAAACCCGGACGCCATTCGGTCGCCCCAGACAGCTTTTTCAAAAAGGAAAAGAGAGAGAGAAAGAGTTGAATAGCTATTGCCAGGTATTTGTCAAGGGTTGTGGACAGAGGCTCAGTCACAATACTTATATGGTCAGAACAAGTAGACATACAATAGCGACTTAATTCATGTTTGGACTGATGATCAATGCTGAGTAATTTTTAAAGTGTAATAAAGTAGTATTTTATATCTGTTTAGTTCAACAAATTTTATATTTCTGAAAAAAATAAGATGCTTGTGGTTCACAGCTTTAAATTAATGATGCAGAAGAAGATAACAACCAGTGGTTGAGGTGAGCTTTGTACAACTTTTCAGGTGAGCCTGTTATCTAGTTTTAGGCTAGAATATAAATCTAAGTATGAGACCTTGATTGTCTCTGTTTGTATCATTCAGAAGTGATATTCTGATCAAAGGAATGGTCTATAGAAGCAATGGCATCTTCAGCAGCAGAGCACCAGGTTGGGAAGGCATATTTTATATTTATAGATAATCCTCCCTCAAATTCTTTCCAGTTTCCCCCATTTCATTTGCTTGTTGAACACTTGCAAGGAGAAAGTCAGTGGGTAACCAGAAAGAAGTTACAGATCCAAGGCAACCAGGCAAGTAAGTATCTGCTGCTGAATGGGGAAGGAAATGAGGGGGTATACTGGGGCGTGGGTCAGGAATTGTGCATGGTAATATGCAAAATGTGTTGCATGGATTAGGAAGAGTGCATGGATGTGCATAAGAAATGCCATTGTGGGTTGAGTATGCCTGTGGGCAGCATAGCTCAAGACAAGTCAATGAGGACATATGGGGGTACCATGGATCAGATAAGGTGCATGGCTCAGGGAAGACATGGGAGAAATGCATGGGGTGCACAAAGAGTGTCATGTGAGCTATGGAAGGAGCATGAGGTGCTGCATATCAAGGGTGTGTGGAGTATGCAAGAATTGTCATGTGAGTTGGAAAGTTTGCAGAGGATAGCATGACTCAGGAAGTGAGGGAGAGGACAGCATGTGCCAGGAAATATGCAGGGGTTCCTTTCTCTGTTCTTCCTTCAGTTTGTTCCTTTCTTCCCTCACTTCTCTTTCCTTTCCAGCAGGCAGATAAGTGGCTGCTGCTGGATATAGGAGGGAGTGGCAGATTGCAAGATTGGCTGGGAAACTGTCACAGAATGTTGAAAATGAACTTAAAGTGACTGCAGCAGCAACCAGTAGCACTGAAGAACTACATCTTGAAATCTTATTCCCTTGGGAATCATGTGTCCCAGATTTTGCACGCATTCTGAAAGTTAGCCCTTGGTTCAAACATTGTTGCCCTATGATGCACCATTTCACCCAGTTAATGATTGTGACAATCAGATTTAGCAGTCTAAAGATGGAATTTTTAGTTGCACTCAGCTGGTCAGTAAGAATTTTAAACATACTATATCATTAAATGTTATGATTTAAGTGCAAAGCCATTGGAATTATTAACAGCACTTGGACTGACTGTCATGAAAGTAAAAAAAAAAAAGAAGTGCACTTTGAAACTTGTTAATTGTATTATTTAATCTCAATCAACATTTAAGCTGTATTTGAAAAAGAACTTGGTCTCATTCAGTGATCAGGAAGCAAACAGCTACTAGGATAGTAGCTTCTTCCATTTTAGTTGGCAACTCCTTCAATTGGGGACTTTTGGCAGATACCCGACACTTATTGTGGCTTTTCTGGGACACATTCCAGGAAGACTGTAGAACAAATAGGAAGCAAAGATAATAATTCCGGGAGAAATGAAATATGATTTCCCATAATGCGGTCATATGTCACAGAATTGTTGCATACATACTGGATTATACTTTACTATTCTGTTTTTACAATGTCTATCCCAATTTTTTATAATTACAGATAATTGTAATTTAAATCTTTTTTTTCTCCTCAAACACTAGTTCATTTTTTAAAAAATTCACTAGATAACTATAGCTGCAGTTTCCATACAAACAGAAATCAGCAGGCCATGATTTTATTGATGGTATTTACTGTAGAAATATAAGTGCTGGAAGAATATAACTAAGGAAATAGTGGCGTGCATTTATTGGATTAAGAGTTGAAAACATAATCCTTGTTTAAACATGCATTCATACATGGGCATAAGGCCAAAACAATGTCTTTAATAATTCTTCAAGGCATTTGGATAGTATTTTATCCCAGGTTCATGCTCTGTTCTGATGTTAATCTTGCTGTCTTTTCTGAAAAGAACAGACATAACTTCTTTTAAATTGAAAGGCCAGTTCTTACTTCACTACTCCATGTATTCAGCCTGAATTTGTGCAGTCATAGCCATATACCTCCTAATATATTTTGATTCAATGAAAAACAAAAAAAAGCCTTGGAAATTTGAGGCGAGTGACTTAAAGGTCTAGCTATTAGACTAAGAAGTAGACAAATTGGGGGTTCTGTTGTTATTTATTCTGCCTTAAAGAATATGTTGGATTTAGTTGTAGCTCATTGTGGCTCCAAACAAGCCCTTGAGCATGCATTTTTTGTAGTAGGAAAAAACTTTCCATTTGCTCCAATGAGAAGCTAGAGTCTCTTCTCCATGCTGCCCCCCCCCATCCCCAGAAAATATCACCTGTAGGGACCTGACCTAGAGCACAAAGAAATTA